GAAAGCCGGTTCCGTCCGAGTTGTCGCAAACGTCATCCATCTCAGCATCTCTGTTTGTTGTTGTTGCTGTTCGTTGTTTTCGCTTCTTTGGTTTCAGGTTTTGCGGATGAATAAGCAGCAAGCCCCTATGCTCTATGCTCTTGTTGTGAGTGAGTGCGAGCGTGCGTGCCTGTGCTACCCCACTGTCAAATGGAATTCGTTGTGACGTATTAAATCGCAGCAAAAAGTACCCAAAGCCAGTGGGGAAAAACCCCCCAAAGGCAATGAGATGAATGAAACTCTCGGCTTGTTCTTCGCCAGCGTCGGCTTCGTTAGCTTCTTCGTTGTCGTCGTCGTCGTCGTCTAAAGTAGAGTATTTAAAATAACTTGGCTTGGCTCTGTAGAGTTTCATTCCCTGTTCGCCCGTTGAAAAGAAAGCATCTCGTTTTGCATTTAAAAACCGCACTTGGCAAAAATGAAGTGACTTAGGCCAAGAAGTGAAGAAGTGAATTGAATTGTGTGAAGCAGCTCGATACTAACTTAATTTGAAACGCACATAAGAACAATTGAAATTCAAAAATAAAAGTCTGAACCAGAACTGTGATTTATTGTTATTATTTTTTTATACAAATCAAAATTAGTGTTAATTATATATTTAAACAAAATGTAAGTTTGAAAAATTATAAAAAAATATTTTTTTTAAAATAATTAATTTAATAAACATTTAAACAGAAGTGATCAAAAATTGGAGAATTAAAAAAAAATTAAAAAAAAAATATTTGAAAAGATCAAAGAAAAAAATTAGTTAAATTAAACATTGATTTCCGATTCCTTGAAAACCCAAAGAATAAGAATAAAACAAAACCGGTCTAAAATGTATTCAGGCTTAAAATGTATGCATGTGTGTGTGTGGGTGACTCTCATAGCTGTGTGTATGCATAACATCTACTTAACATGAAAGTGACTAACAACAAGTGAAAAGGGCCAACCGCAGTACCAAACACCTTCTTGGAACGGATACCTACTCCTCCTCCTTCCTTCCTTAAAAAAAAACAACCTTACACATCTACATTGGCATGAACAGGTTCTAGGCAAATGTACTTTACTTTTGTTTCGAAAACTTTAATATAGAAAGTTTCCAGTGAATCATGGTGGAAATTTAAAGACATATCTTTTTTATAAATGACTGCAAGTGGATAATTGGGCCATATTAAAAGTTGGGTACGAAAGCCCGCCAAACCCTTTTAAGATTGTGTCTCACATTACATTAAACCGGCTTTTAAAATCCAAGATCAAATTGCCGAACGCTGTGCGACAAAATCCATTTCCCATAAATTACGAGGGAAATCCTGCAGATTATGAAAGTAGAGCTAAACAAAGAAGACATGTGTATCGGAGTTTTGAAAGTTTAAATCGTCAAGTAACCTAAAAATGGAGAGGGCATGTTTACCCATCTTCCTCGGAATCCATTAACTTAAGTTATATACTGTCTTTGGCAATATTGCAGATAACAATATCGAGAATGTAAACCCACAAGCGAGTCAACAAAGGGGCTTTTTGGCCCTTTTTATACCCTCCACCATAGTATGGAGGGTATATTAAGGTTGCCATTCCGTTTGTAACACCTCGAAATATACGTTTTAGACCCCACAAAGTATATATATTCTGGATCAGCATAAAATTCTATGTCGATTTAGCGATGTCCGTTTGTTGAAATCACTCTAGCTTCCGAACGATATGAAGTAGGTTGATAACATTTTACTCAAATGTATATTATGTTTGCAGGACTTTTGGTATTGAAAATTGTCCGTGCAGGTCCACGTTTTGGTATAGCCTCCATGTAATAATACCTCCCTATATTCGCTATTTTAGTTATTCACTGGAATCGTTTCAAATTTAATATTTAAAGTTCGTAATGGATACTACAGCCTATGACAGAAAGTTGTCTGTGCAGGTCTACGTATAGCCCCCATATAATTGTATCTCCCCGTATTATTATTGTTTTGGTGATTTAAGCGACTTTTTTCACCGAAATTGTTTCAAAGTTCGTAATGGTATTTGCAGTTCGTAATGGATATTACAGCCTATGACAAAAAATTGTTTGTGCAGGTTCACGTCTACGTATAGCCCCCCACATAATTGTACCCCACTATTTTCGGTATTGGGTATTCGATATTTAAGCTACATTATTCACCGATTTTTTTTCATGTTTCGCATTTGAATATTGTACGCAAAAATTTTTAATTTTTTTGAATGAAAGCAAAAAATGTCGGAAATAGAATCAAATTTTAGAATAAGTTTAGATTTGTTCGAATTGGTCACCTTTTGGCACGAATTATGTCCTTCACACGCTGCCCAAATGTTGTTCTGCTATATTTTGGCCCTTCCGGGCGAAGCGCTTGCTTGAGGTGATCGACACTTTGGTATTTTTTAGTGCCAACCTTGCTTTCCAAAATACTCCAGACAAAATACTCAAACGGACTGGGATCCAAAGATTTGGTGGCCATTGTGCGCTGAAATGAGAACCTCATTTTGTAACCATTCTTGGGTGGCGCATGCTGAGTGCGATGGCGCTGAGTCCTTTTGGAATGCCCAAGGTCTGTGGACATATTGTTTTCGTGCCCAAGGTTTTAATACACCCTCCAGAATATTTTCGCGATAATATTTTGCATTTATTCTGATACCACGGAGAGCGATCATCGGCTGTTATGGCAACCCTACATCATCACCATGGCCGGCGCTTGAGTTCTGAACGAAGGTGCACATTTTCAGCTGATCTCTTTGGCAAGTAGAACGATCATTTTGTTTGTTTACAAACTGCTGAACAACGAATGTTTTTTCATCGGAGAAATCCAAATTCGGCAGTTCACCACTTTGGCCAAGCGAAGCAACTCTTAAGCTCTTTTTAGCCTATTTTTTCTGTTGTGGTGTAAGTTCTGGCACTTTTTCAAATTTTAATGCCTTTACCCCGAGAACCATTCATTTTTCAATATTTGCCGAATGGAATATGGCGATTGGTTCAGCTCACGAGCCATTTTTCGGCCACTGCGACGCGGGTTTCGATCAAGTCTCTTCTTTACTTTTCGAACCATTTCGGCTGATGTTGCTGTTTTCTCCATCCACTTCCTTGACGTCAGGCTACGCCACCAGTATCACGGTAACGGGCAATGGTACGAGACACAAAAGATTTATTCACATTTAAATGCTGGAGTGCTCTAACGATAGCCACTTGTGGTTTTCCAGCCAAATATAAAGAAATCACACTATCACGCTTGAATTCTATCACGAATAACTTTTTTTCTGGAATATTCTTAACAAAATGCTTTTGTACGCTTGTAAACAATATAATGAGCTATCACTGGAATAATGTTAACAGCTGTCGAACGAGTCGCTTAGAAATGACAGCAGTCTGAATTTGCTTGCAGTTTTTTCATCTTACCCTGAATAGTGTCTTCGGAAATATTGCAGATAAAAATATAACAAATATTTTTGAGGAAAATTTTAACCCCCAAGCAGGTCATCAAAGGGGTATTTTTGGTATTTTTTGAAAAAATAAAATTGTTAAAACCCCTTTAAACTGGATCGTAGCAAATCAAAATGCTATGAAAAGCACATTTTAGGGTTAAAGCCGTAATTTGTGTGAATTTGTGCAAAATTCTCCAACAAAACTTCACTGTTGAAAGAAAATGTTAGAGACAAAAATATTCTTCATCAAATTCCATTATAAGTCTCCGAAGAAAAGAAATGTATATTTCTTTGTATATCGAAAAAAAATATTGGATTCAATTTTCCGAAAAAAAATATTTCCTAATTTTTTTGATTAATTTTTCTTTGGACTTATTTCGACTTGACGCCTGAAAGTAATGTAAAATTTCGTTTTAGGCGGAAGATGTCAAAAGAAGAAATATTCTACTCAAAATTTCACTATAAATTTCAGAATAAATCATATATCTAAATTCAATGGTTTGTAAGAAAATTACATTCGAATTTTATGTATTATAAGTGAAAATTATGTGTTGGCTTTTTTAATATTGATTTAACAGGTTTCCAATTCGAGTCAAAATCTTCCTTTATTCTTAATTTTTTGGGGAAAATATCAAAGTAAGAATTATTCTAGATCAAATTTCATTATGAGTCTCTGACTAAAAGAAATTTGTATATTCAATATGTACTCTGAAAAAAACATCAGCATTTTTTGTTAATAAAAAACCTTGTTCGTTTTTGAAAAATGTCGAATATTTCCCAATTCGCTGCAAATTTTCTTATAATTTCACTGGTTTGTTGAAAATTTCAAGTAGATTTGATAGTACTCAGTTGGAAGATTAAATCCCCAAAGTAGTTTTGGGTTTTTAGGCCAAATGTTGCTAAACCCTTTAAATGGTTTTGACCATATTCAGAGGGACCCTTTTAGTTTGAGATATATTTCGCAATATTTACCATAGAGCTTTGACAATTGGTGCATATCTTTGGATTACTTCAATAATCATGGACACAGAGAAGAATCATTGGATCATATCGATCCACTTTTTGGAATAGTCTCCTTGTTAAAATAACTCCAATTTCAAATTTCTTTAAAAGAAGGTTATGATTATCGTACCATTTGAAGGACATTTTGGGTCGTTTTGCAGGGCAAATTTTCGTTTTCAGGGCGAATTTTCAAAAAAAATTCCTTATTGTATCACAAAGACCCGAATAAAATCCTGCAAGAATATGAAGTTCAACTTTCAATTAATGTGTTTTCAGTGAAAGTAAAATCCTTTTTTAAAACCCCCCTCCCAAACAACGCCACTGCCTAGAATCTAAAATCATGACAATGGAAAGTGGGCAAAAATCTTTCCCCCCTGAATGTTTGCAGACTGCTTCTGCTGTTAATATTCAATTACCTGGCTCTTGACAATATGCAAAAAATAAAAGAAAAATAAAAGAAAAAAAACGAAAACAAACAGAACTATTCTAATTCTGCCATTTGAAGTCTACCCCAGCCTTTACTCACACACACAATCATCAAAGTTGGCTGGAGAAGCCAACAACCCAACCATCCAACCAACCAAGTTTATAACGCCCCCATCATTTGGTGTTATCGGGGCACATTAAATACGACACGGCTATATACGTATTTATTGGCCCTCTAGTTTACAAGTCCTATTTATGGCCGTCTATGGAAATTTCAAAATGACACTGATGAAATTTTAATAACCGGGCGATCACTTTTGAGATTCTCGACGCTGACATCGTTGTGTTCCTCGCGAGTTGTGGTGGGAACCTTAGCTAGAACCTTCACTTTAGTCTTTTGCTAACGCTCGAACTAGACGGACGCGGAACAATAAGAAACGGGTGACGACATTGTATTTTAGTTTAGTCACTGGCTAGTCGAAAGAGGCGCGCTCGCGATCTCTTTTTATTTTTGGCAAGATAATTTTCGGTTTATAACGAAGGAATAAAAGAAAGCAAGCGGCTGATGTGCGTGTGTGTGTGTATCAGTGCGGACGATCACATTCAAATATCAATTGCAAGCGTTTTGAGTCTGGAAACTTGTTGCTTCACTTGTTGTTAAGAAGCTGGAATAGATAGCATTTCGTCGATCTAAAATTGATGGTAAAGTTTAGAACTGAACAAAAAAAACGAAAAACAAAAAAAGATTATCGTTAAAAAGTTCTTGTTTTACTTGTTCGATTGAATTAATTGAAATAAGTGTTAATGATTCGAGTGATTAGATTAAAGGGTTAATCATTTGAGAGTGAAAAAAAAACGTGAGAAAGGAAAATAAACAAAAATAATAAAAAACATAAAAATAAATGAATAAAAAACAAACAAAAATTAAAGAAATAAATCTGAAAAGTTTGAAGAATTTTCAAATTTTTGAAAATTATAAAATTTTAATAAGACTTGATAGAAGATGTAGAATTTGGCTGAAATATGCCGGAATAATTAAAAAAAAAAACCGAATATCAGGTTTTACGGTTATATGGAGCTATACGGAAACCTGGATATTTTTAGAAGGTGGTAACGAACTCCAAATACCAAGACTGAGATAATTCTTTAGCTAAAATTTATGCAACCACATAAAAATGCCGAAAATAGGGAGGTACCCTTATGTGGGGCCATACAAAGGCGTGGATCTCTACAGGAAATTTTCTATCATAGGTGAACCCATTACGAACTCCAAAAACCAAATTTAAAATAATTCCGGTTTAAACTGTGACACAAATTATAAAAATGCCGAATATCTGGAGGTACAGCTATATGGGGTCTATACCAAAACCTGGACCTATATTTACAGTTCTCTGCAAGGATATTTCCAACATACTGGGAAAACATATTCCCAATTTACAGCGAATTCGATTTGAAATTCTGACTAAAACACCCAAAAAAAACTTAAATCTCTCGGTGCAGTTATATGGGGGCTATACGAAGACCATGGCCTGCATGGACAATTTTCTGTCATAGGCTGTAGCATCCATTACGAACTTCAAATACCAAATTTGAAACATTTCCGGTAAATAATGTCGCTTAAATCACCAAAATGCCGAAATATAGGGGCTATACCAAAACGTGGACCTACATGGTCCATTTTCAATACCAAAAGTCCTGTAAACCTAAACCTCACCTTAGTAAAATGTTATCGACCTACGTCATTTTGTTCGGAAGCTGGAGTGATTTCCACAGAAGGACGAATATCGCGTTAATCGACAAAGAATTTTAAGCTGATCAAGAATATTTATATATATTTTGTGGGATCGAGGTATATATTTTGTATATTCGAGGAGTTACGGAAACCTAATTGAGAAGTGTTAAATGTTGCCAAAATAGTTCTGAACTAATTTAAAAAAATAAATAAACAAAAAAAATTAAATGCATATTATTGGACTTAAATACAGTTTTTGATTTTGAATTTTTAAATTCTAATGGTTTTTAGTTTATCATCCCAAAAAAAATGTTCAGCCAACCCCTTTATTGCTTTGTCATCCGATTTCATTGCCAAAATTTAATTCTTCTCTCCTTTCACCCACATCTATTTTTCTTTTACTTTTGTTCTTCTCAACAAAATTTGATCTAATTATGGGACTTTAGTCAGCTATTATCTCGACACAATAGACAAAACAAATATCAAATAGAACTGAAACAAACCGGTGAAATGCTACATAAATTCTTATGTAGATATGTTTGGTGATATTTTTAAACAAATAAAATTAAAAGATTCAATGCGAACAAAAGAAAAACGGAACTAAAAAAGGCAAATACACACAAAAATTATGATATCAACAGAGTTTTCCTTTCGATTCAATAAATTCCAAGTCCAGTCCTGGCTGCTGGATTCAAAGTTTTTTTGGTATATCCAAAAAGTGTTTTTAGGAAGAGTTCACACACAACAACACTGTGCAACATCAAAAAAAAAAAAATAAAAATGATTTTGAATAGCCCCTCATGTAAGGATCACTCCGATTTTAAGTATGTTTTCGGAAAAGACCCCTTGTAAGGATAATTCTGATTTTAAATATTTTTTTTATATTTTTACAACGTAGTTTTTTCAAATTCTTGCATTTTGTTTTCATATTATATAGGGCTATGCCAAAAGGTGGACATATATTGATAATTTTTTAAAAAAAAGCGTTCCTACATAATTCAAATGTCAAATTTTGACAAAACTAAATGGAAAACATGGCCAAGACGTTAAAAATACTTGAAATCGGACTTATCTGTACAAGGGAACTATTCCAAAAAGTGGACGAATATGATCCTGTATATGTAATCATGACTCTGCTCTCTATGAAATTTGAAAGGTCTATGTCAAATACTTCGAAATGTATCTAAAACTAAATTGTATACGGTAAAAAAGAGGTTTTGATCTACATACCGAGTTCTATGAAGCCCATTTGGAATTTTTCACAACCCAGACTGGAAAATTATTAGAAAATTCGCAGGGAATTGGGAAAAAAATGATTTTTTTTCAGAAATAAACAATTGACGCCATTTTTTCAGGGTAAATGTTAAATATACAAATTTCTTTTGTTCAGAGACTCGCAAAAAATTTGATCTAGAGTAATTCTTACTTTGACACTTTCCCCGAAAAGTGAAGTATAAAGAGAGATTTGGGATCGGATTGGATACGTGTTAAATCAACAGTCAAAAAAGCAAAAATCAAATTTTCAATGCAATTTTCACAAAAACTATTCAAACTAGTTACATGGTCGTGAGATTTATAGTGAAATTTTGTGTAGAATATTCCTTCTTTTGACACCTTACGCCTAAAACCAAATTTTATGTTACTTTTAGGCCTCAACTCGAAAAAACTCCAAGGAAAAATGGATCAAGAAATTAGGGAAGTTTTTGGGTCTTGTTTTTTAGACATTAAAGCCCATTTTTTTTGATATACCATAGAAAGAGAAATTATTTTTTTTTCTTTGTGACTATAGGTCCAAAAAAAATACTTAAAGTGTCAGGAAAAGATTTGGGGAAAAAATATATTAAAAGATTAAGGAAAAGATTTTTTAAATATATTAAATATTTTCTTGATATATTATGGAAATAGAGATTTCTTTCCTTTGGTGACTTATAGTGAAATTTGATGGGGAATATTTTTGTCTTTGACGTTATCCTTCTAAAATGATGCCTTCTTGCAGATTTTTGCCCTATCTGACATAAACCACGGTTTTAACCCGGAAATGTGCTTTAAAGACCCATAATAGAATTTTATGAAAAATAATTATGTGGAATATTTTGACTTGCTCCCATATTTTCAAAAAAGGACCAAAAAAAACACATTTGGGAGTCGCTTGAGGGCTACCATACTCAACGAAAAAATCCTTGTTTTGTTTAATATGCATTAATATTACAAAAAAGACACAATATACATAAAATCAACGGATTCCAAATAATCTCAATTCGAAATTTTCAAAAATAAAAGTTTAAAAGTCGGGCCGACTTTATGATACCCTACACTCCTTGGCATATTTAGTAGAGCTTCATATAACAACTAAAAAAATATAACAAATAGGATGAACAATATATATGGGAGCTATTGCTATATCTGAACCGATTTGAATCAAATTCGACACACTTGTCTCTAGGCTCAGTTTGGTCGTAAGTGCCAAATTCCATCCAATTTGGGCTAATATTACACATTTATTATGCCGCAAAACATAAAAGGCAAGTTGGACGAAGATCCATGTGAAAGCTGTATCTAAATTTTGACCGATCTTTCAATAGGGTTCGTCCTTGAATCAAACAAATGACTTGTGCAAAATTTTATCTGGATCGGACAATACTTTCTTTACAAAAATACATGGAATGTTATCTCGTTTTCTTTTGCCTGTTACAAAGAAATTCACAAAGACCACCTTATGGTGTAGGGTAAGAAAAATGTGGAAGAGGGGTAAACTGGGCTTACTTTGCGATATTACACGTGTCTTCCTTTTTCAGGCTCTGCTTTCATAATCTCATGGATTTTCCCTATAATTATTGATAAAATTGAAATTTATAGCAAACATATTCCTGGAAATATTTTAGAGAATTAGTCTCTGTCTCTCCTGTGCATTTATCAGGTCATTTTTCATATTTGACAAAGACATGGAAAGGCTTAAGACATCATGACTTTGAGATGACTAAATTATAATACTCTTCTCACTCTCTTTCTCTCTCTCTCTCTCTAAAAAGTATAGGTATTTTACTACTTCCGCAACCTTATCAAACTGGGCATCAAAAGTGTTGTGGCAAACACTTCAATTTCATGCCTTGTCATTCAAATAAAATCCAATTTACAAGGGTCAATAATTCCTATCTCTCGCTATCGGCGGTTCTCCAGCGATGAAGCTATTAAAAATGGCAAAGAAAAAGTAAACAACTTACAGCTGATCCATACCAAATGCAATCGAATCAAAAACGAAATAAAATAATTATTCGATTGGTCGGCAATCTGCCTTAATTTGAGATAATCACTCTGGCTATTAACTGTCTCAGTAAAATCTCGAGACACTAAAAAAATATATTCACACCATTCAGGCGATGAAAGGCAACGTTTAACGTTCTAATCGATTAAAAGGTTTTCTTCCGGGTCGTTATTTCTATAATTAAATACAGAAACCTAAGAATAAATGGCTCGAAGGGATGGCTAATGATTCAACTAAAGTAGAGGGAGAGAAATCTTGAACCGCACATTTTTTTAGAATTTAATTTGTTGCGCACAATTATGGAAAAAAATTTATTGAGTCAGACTGTTTTAATTTTTAATATTTCATGAGTAATATTCTTTGATGTCCATTCCTCTCCTTCTTCTCTTCCCCCATAAATTCAAAAATGTTGCATAAATCCGATCTCATGATTTCAAATTCCAAATATTAACTGTGATTCACTTCATTCATCCCCGGGTGGGCCTGAGAATTTTAGAAAATATATTCCATTTGCCCTTTTCTAGGAACGAACCTTTGCTGGGAATTGAATCAGAATTTTTTGATTTTTTAATGAGAACGAAAAAAATTTTTTTTGAATCGGAAAAACAAGCAACGTCGCTGTAAATAATTAATGAGAAGAAATTATTTGACAATGGTATGTGAAAAATATGCAATCCACGAGAGCTCGATTATTAACGAAATTAGCATAGTTTACTAATTCCAAAACAACTGCAGCAATATTGATGAGAATATTTAAAAGAATATTTATTTATTTGTTTATCTTTTTTTCTATTCATAACTAATAAATTATAAAAAATAATGATAATGATCGAAAGCAAGAAAATGTAGACAGGAATGCTAATTGGTTGGTAGGACGCGGTGATTAACCGAAGCTGGGTTCGAAACAATGTTGGTGTAAAAAATGCAATTCCAGCAACACCTCTGCTACACGCCTCCGAAGATAAATCTCAAAGCTAGTAATGTGTCAAAGGCGAACACTTTTGAGCTTGACAAATGATTAGATTTCTTTCCAGATTGTCTTTTGTTTAACTCTAATCGCTTTTGTTTTCTTATTCTTAAATTTACATATTTGTTATTGCGCAACTGTCCATGTGTCACAAAAGTAAAGGCAGAAGAATACAACGACGACGTCGAATTAGTATAAATCAAGTTTGGCACTTGTTAAATATAATTTGCATTCCAATTTTTTTATAGACCAACCAATTAACTGGAAGCTATTAACCCATAAAATATTAAAAACACAATCTCAATAAAATTCTTTGTTAATCATTCAAATAATCTATTGCGTTGCATAGACTTGACTTAGAAGGCATTTACATCTCTTTCAACAGAGAAAGGAGATGAATGAGAAGGAGAGAGAGAGAGGACTCTCCTCTTTACCAATATTTGTTTACTCTTCAATAAACCTTTTCGATATTTAAAGATATTAAAAGAAACGATTATTTTTTTTAAATCTTCTTTTAACCCCTCTTGCCTATCTGGGGGTTAAGCCACTTTTATACCAGTTTATTGAAAGTATATTATTAATATAAAAGCATCAATTGTCATAATTTTCGCAAACAATAATTAAAGTTTCTTCGCCCCATGGCTTCCAAAAAGGGGAATAATAGATTTATAATTTCGAAATTAATCATTCATTAAGAAAAAAAATTTGCAATTCTAACAAAGACAATTCGTTTTTTTCTTTTGTTTATGAGAAAAAGATAGGGATTTCAATTCACAATAGAAAATAATATAAGTGAAACAAGTAAAGAATGTCTAAAAGTCAGACATATTTGGTAGAACTTCATATAACAAATAAAAAATATAACAAATAGGATGAACAATATATATATGGGAGCCATAGCTATATCTGAACCGATTTCGATCAAATTTGACATACTTGTTTCTAGGCTCAATTTGGTCGTAAGTGCCAAATTCCATCCAATTTGGGCTAATATTACACGTTTGGTGCCCAATAAAGAGCAAATCGGACGAAGATATATATGTGGGAGCTATATCCAAATCTGAGCCGATCTCAATAAAATTTGAGAAGAATTGCTGTGATGTATTGGATAGATTTCCCAAATACCGTTGTTACAGGGTGCATATTACGGCTACGGAGGATAAAAATATCAAATCGGAAAGCCAATATATATGGGAGCTATAGCTATATCTTAACCGATTTGGATCAAATTTGATATAATTATTTCCAGGCTTAATTGGCTGGTATATGCACAATTTCATACCATTTAGGCTGATATTACACCTTTGGTGCACAATAAAAAGCAAATCGGACGAAGATATATATGGGAGCTATATCTACATTTTGACTGATTATCTCCAATTTCAATAGGGTTCGTCCTTGGGTCAAACAAATGACTTGTGCAAAATTTCATTGGATTGGATTGGGCAATAAATGTGACCTGTACTTTGTTTACGAAAATACATTGGCGGACGGACGAACATGCATAAATCGACTCAGATTCTATGCAGATCATCTTAAGGAACTATAGTTCTTTCTCGTTTTCTTTCGCCTGTTACAAACAAATGCACAAAGGCATAATACCCTGACCATCTTGTGGTGTAGGGTATAAAGAACCGGTACTGTTTGCCACTACCTTTGAAGAGAACATTCGCTATGGCAAATCCGATTGCACCGTGAAGGAAATTGAAAAGGCTGCCCACATTACCAACTGCCATGATTTCATAATGAACTTGCCCAATGGCTATTAGACTAAGGTGCAAGAACGTGGCGCCCAAATGTGCGGAGGCCAACAGCAAAGTATTGTCATTGGATTGGGAGTTTTCTACGGAGTATACTCTTCACCCCTTTGCTATGTGTGGAAGCGCTCCAAAAAAACTTCTGTTTAAGAAATTAGAGTAGGAGTTGAATCGTTCGAAATAGAGAGGGAGAGAGAGAATTTGCTCCAAGAGTGAAACTGAGTGGAAAAAATGTTTGGTTTGCGATTTCTATGTTGCTGTGAACTGTGGAGAGGCGAATGATCATGTAAAATATCAAAGAAGAGAGAAAGACTAGAAGCAAGATGCGGTGGATTACTATCAAATGATTTTCAAGGTGTTTGGTTTGAGAAAAGACACATACATAGAAACACAGAGTATAATATGCTCTGACTTCGAGCGAATTTTGCTCTAAACTCTTTACTCGAATTCGAGCGAGTTTTTCTGAGGTCTAGTCAAAATATTTTAAGATATTAAAAAATTCATTAACCCTTCATCAGCATCTGGAAAATAATTTAAAAAAAATAAATAAAAACAAACAATAAATTCATCATCCGTTTTGGAGATTATATTAATTTTAAAATGAAATCAGGGTCTCATTGTGGAAAAATTCAAAATATTTGTAAACAAAATTTCAAAATTTTCCAAATCGCAAAATGTAATCAAAAACATTTCTCTTTTTTTCAGGTTCCCTAAAACTAACAGATACTCATTCAATCACAAAATGACGTCACCCGGAGACACAGCGACGAAAAAGAAAAACAATATTTTGGCGCAATTTACAAATCCCCAAAAGAAAAATGAAGAAGCGGGCGAGAAAGTGCCCAAGGCCCCATCGATATCGTTCTTCCAGTTGGTAAGTAAACCAAAACGAATCTAAGCCAAAGACTTGACTAAATCGCAAACGATTAATCCACAGTTCCGCTACTCAACGATAAGTGAACGCTTTATGATGCTAATTGGCGTTCTGTTGGCCTGCATTGCGGCCGGTGGTATGCCCTATTCGATTGTGATTTATGGTGAATTTTCTTCTCTGATGGTGGATCGTACGGTGGGTGTGGGCACCTCTTCGTCGACACTGATTTTACATCTCTTTGGTGGTGGAAGGAAATTGTAAGTCTCCATTTTAGCTCGCAATATTTATTCAAACTAATCTCAATACCTCTCGATTTCCACAGAACCAATGCCACCTATGAAGAAAACATGGAGGCAATACGTGAAGATTCCATGGCCTTTGGTTTGGGCAGTGTGGCCGGGGCCATTGCCCTACTGATTTTAATAGCCGCAGCTGTAGATATCTTAAATCGCACAGCCCTCAAACAAATCGGTCGCATACGCAAAGAATATTTGGAATCGATTTTGAAACAGGACATGTCATGGTTTGATACCGCCTCGGGAAATAATTTTGCCAGTCAAATGTCAGAGTAAGTTTGAATCGCCCCGTCGTTCTGAAGGTCATAACTAACCCAAGTTGTTTTTCCAGGAATCTCAACAAAATGAAGGAAGGCATCAACGAAAAGGTTGTCATTTTCATTTTCCTCATCATGTCCTTTGTCATTGCCATTGTGGCATCCTTTGTCTATGGCTGGCAATTGACCTTGGTCGTATTGGCCAGCTGTCCTTTGATTATTATTTCCACCGCCTTGGTGGCCAAAATTCAAAGCTCGCTGACGGAAAAGGAATTGAAGGCATATTCTGGAGCCGGAGCAGTTGCCGAAGAGGTCCTCGGAGGCATACGCACTGTCTTTGCCTTTAGCGGTGAGCGCAAGGAACAAGAACGATTTTCTCAACGTCTGATTCCAGCCGAGACCATTGGACGTCGCAAGGGTCTGTTCTCAGGCTTGGGAGCTGGCACCATGTGGTTTATCATCTACTGCTGTTACGCCATTGCCATGTGGTATGGCGTGAGTTTGATCTTGAATGAACGTCATGATGAAAATCGCCATTACACTCCAGCCGTGTTGGTCATCATTCTCTTCGGTGTCATTATGGGTGCCCAGAATCTGGGCTTCTCGTCGCCCCATTTGGAATCTTTTGCCACGGCCAAGGGTGCTGCCCATAGTATCTTCACCACAATTGATCGGGAGTCCAGCATAGATCCCCTGTCGGATAAAGGAGAGAAACCTGCAGATGTTGTTGGCAACATCGAATTTGAAAATATCCATTTCCGTTACCCCGCCCGACCTGATGTGGAGATATTGAAAGGGTTCTCGTTGAGCATAAAGACGGGCCAAACGGTGGCTTTTGTCGGCCCCTCGGGATGTGGCAAGTCCACTACACTGCAGCTGATGCAACGTTTCTATGATCCTCTAGGCGGCTGTGTTAAACTGGATGGTCGTGATTTGCGCAATTTGAATGTGTCCTGGCTGCGTTCCCAAATCGGTGTTGTGGGCCAAGAACCGGTACTGTTTGCCACCACCATTGAGGAGAACATCCGCTATGGCAAAACCGACTGCACCATGAAGGACATTGAAAAGGCTGCCCGCATTGCCAACTGCCATGATTTCATAATGAACTTACCCAATGGCTATCAGACTAAGGTGGGAGAGCGTGGCGCCCAAATGTCCGGAGGTCAAAAGCAACGTATTGCAATTGCCCGGGCCATCATTAGAGACCCAAAAATTCTGTTGCTCGATGAGGCCACCTCGGCTTTGGATCCCACTTCCGAAAGGCGTGTACAGGATGCTCTGGAAGTTGCCAGCAAGGGCCGAACCACTTTGGTGGTATCACATCGTCTGTCCACCATTACCAATGCCGATAACATTGTGTTTGTCAAGGATGGGGTGGTGGCTGAGCAGGGTACCCATGAAGAGCTAATGGCTAAGGGTGGTTTGTACTATGAACTGGTTAAGATATCGCAGCGACGCGAACAAGTCGATGAAAGTGTCGACAATTCCCAAATGGATTTCCATAAAAAGGCCAGCGCAGAGAATGACAGCGAGGAGGAGGACGACGACGATGATGATGGTAGCAGCAGCGAGGAAGAAGATGAGGGCAATGAAGTAGTCAATGTCGAAACACCCCAAAAGCCATCGAGCGAATTGGGTGTCACCAACAAAGCATATGAGGGTTCAGCGGAAGAAAAAATTGGCAATGGTTTGAAGAGTAAGTGTTTGTTGTCAAGACTTTTGGCAACTGATTATTAATTGTCATTTGTGTTATTGTTCGAAATAGGAAAAGGCAGCAAAAGGAAGAGGAAATCCAAAGACGTGGAAAAATATAAAATTTCCTTTTCACAATTGATGCGTCTAAATGCCCCCGAATGGAAGTTTCTGCTGATCGGTTGTGTTGCGGCCTGCTTGCATGGTGCCACCTTCCCTATTTGGGCGGTGTTCTTTGGCGATTTCTTTGGAGTAAGTATTACGATGAGAAAGAGAGAGAGAGAGAGAGAGAGCGTCTCAAAAACACACAGTTATTAATGCTAAATATGATTTCCCTCTTAGATTCTCTCCGATGATGATGAACAGGTTGTCAGAGATGGTGCCAACTTCTTGTCCTACATCTTCATTGGCATTGGTTTGGTGGCTGGCATTGGAGCCCTGTTGCAAACGTACATGTTCAATACGGCCGGCGTGAAGATGACAACACGTCTTAGGAATATGACCTTCCAGACTTTGTTGAGGCAGGAGGTGGCCTACTTCGATGATGAAAAAAATTCGGTGGGTGCACTGTGTGCTCGCCTGGCGGGAGATTGTTCCAATGTTCAGGGGGTAAGTTTTTAAGAGATTTTCCAATTAGATTTCTCACATTTATAATGGTTAAAATTATTCTTAACAGATTTCTAATGAAAAAACGTTATTTCTTTCAGGCAACCGGAGCTCGTATAGGCATCATAGTTCAGGCCTTGTCCACCCTGTCCGTGGGTGTATTGGTGGCCTTCATCTTCTCATGGCAGCTGACTCTGGTGACATTGGTCATCATACCATTTTTATGCTTCTCAATTGTCCTAGAGGCAAAATTCACGGAATCCTTTGTTGCCAATGAGAAACAAGCCGTCGAACAGGCCTCTCAGGTCGCAGTAGAAGCTATTACAAATATACGCACCGTAACCAGCTTGGGTCAAGAGCGAGACATTGTCAAACGTTATAGCGAACAAATCGAACTGGTGGACAGGGCGTGTGCCAAGAAGTTACGTTATCGTGGCTTGGTCTTTGGTTTGGGTCAATGCTCCCCGATTTTGGCCTATGGTCTATCCTTGTATTATGGCGGAACTTTGGTGGCCGATGGCGTCTTGCCCTATGAGAATATTATAAAGTAAGTATGAGAGGGGGATTTAAATTTCAGCTACTCATTTAGCCACTAGAGAGGGAGAAAGAGAGAGAGAGAAAATCGATTATGGATTAATCGACTTTTGGTATTGAAATCTCTAAGAGCCAAAGTCGATTTTTGTCTGTAATAAATTCTAAAGCGCTTATCTGTCTGTAATAAATTCTAAAGCGCTTATCTGGTTATCGGCTGGCTTCTTCGGAAATTAACAAAGGAGTGGAGATACATAAAGCGCATATTTGGCTGGCATCGGCTACGCTAGCCGATAACTTAGGCTTGCTTCTTCGTAGATGAACAAAGGAGTTTTTGGTTGACTTAGTTCGATTTTGGCCCAAGGCTCCTTTGTTCATTTCCGAAGAAGCCAGCCGATGACTTAAGCCAGATAAGCGCTTTATGTATTCCCACCTTAAAATTGGGTAAAGGCTACAATACATAGAACGTTTTTTTTTTTACTTCGCTTCGATCTAGGTTGACTTTGTTCGATTTTTGCCCAAAGCTCCTTTGATCTTTTCCGATGAAGCCAGCCCATGAATTGGGGAGAAAAGCCAGTCAAAAAAGCCTTTAAAAATCTTCGTCATTATACCCTCCACTATTCTATGGCTTTGTCATTCAGTTTGTAACTCCAAAGACAAAAATCGCAAAATCTAAAATTCAATCTAACTCTCAACTGCCTATCTTTTTAAACCCCTGAGAATATAACTTTAGCATTCAATGTCTAACAATCTCTCTTCCCTTTTTCAACAGGGTTTCGGAAGCCTTGATCTTTGGTTCTTGGATGTTGGGTCAGGCCTTGGCCTATGCCCCCAATGTAAATGATGCCATCATGTCAGCGGGACGTTTGTTGAAACTATTTGAACGTGTGCCGAAAATGCAATGTGCCACCTCGAAGCCATTCAATACAGCCGATGTAAGTTCGAAAACCCTCACAAGCCCCCAAAATTTGAATCAAATTTTAAATTCCCATTTTTGTTACAGAAATGTGAGGGTGACATAACCTATGAAGATGTCTACTTTGAGTACCCCACCCGTAAGGGTATTCCAATTTTGGATAACTTCAATTTGCAAATACCCAAAGGCAGTACCGTGGCCTTGGTGGGTCCATCGGGTTCGGGCAAATCAACTTGTGTCCAGTTGCTGCTGCGTTACTATGATCCCGTCCGGGGTTCCGTAAATCTGAGCAATACCTCGACCACAGAATTCCCCATCGATACGCTACGCTCCAAAATGGGTTTGGTGTCACAAGAACCGGTTCTCTTCGATCGCAGCATAGCCGAGAACATTGCCTATGGCAATAATTTCCGTGAAAACATACCCATGGCGGAAATCATTGAGGCGGCGAAGAAGGCAAATATTCACAATTTCATTACATCTTTGCCGCAGGGCTATGACACTTCGCTGGGCAGCAAAGGTACCCAGCTGTCGGGTGGTCAGAAACAACGCATAGCCATAGCCCGAGCCATGGTAAGGAATCCCACCATTCTCATACTGGACGAGGCCACATCAGCTCTTGACATGGAGAGTGAAAAGGTTGTGCAAGAGGCTCTAGATGTGGCCCGCAGTGGCCGTACCTGTGTCACAATTGCCCATCGTCTGACCACGGTGCGTGATGCCGATCTGATCTGTGTTCTGAAGAAGGGTGTCATTGTCGAACAGGGCACCCACGATGAACTGATGGCCAAACGTGGTCTCTACTATGATCTGTACTTGATGCAACAAGTTGCTTAGTTAGGTTTTTTTTTTCTAGGTTAGGTCTCTTTTTTTTACCACAAACATGAAGTATTAGACATTTAATTGTTTATTATTAATTTAATAATAGAAAAAAAAAACACAAAGTATTTTTAGCTGTATTATTTAGTTAATAGAACAAAATCGATATATTTTCAATGAAAATAACTTAAAAAATAAACAAACACTGAACAAATTCGCAAATGAAAACTCAAGTCTCTGAATTATTGGAATACTGGGTGGGTCGCAAAATAGTGGGGCAGTGCAATCCACTAAAGATGGGAATCGCGTATGGCCCCAGGATTGCTCAGAGCATTTTTGCGCTCTTGAATGGCAAAGCTTAGCTTGCGGAAGGGTCCCAAAGGCAAACCCAAGGACTTGAGATCGGCTTCGGTTAGCAGGAGCAGGGTATCCAAATCGATTTGTTGTTTCTGAAATCTAAAACAAAATTCATTAGAAATTGAAAACCAAACCAAACCTCTCAAAATACCCACATGTGCAGATACTCCTCCAAACCCCAAACGGTGAGAAAACGTTGTATTGGCCCACCAGCCACATCCTGGTCATCGTCATCACTAAACCCATCGGCCCCATCGGAATCCGAATCGGTGAGATTCAAAAATGATCGCTGTTTGGCTGAACGTGATTTCGAGCATATCGAACTGGTTCTTGTGGACGGTTGGGTGGTGGTGGCATTCTCCTCCAGGCCGCTATAGACATCGGTATTCAATTGGCTCAGGGCAGCCGTTACGGAACGCCTAAATGCAATGCTGCCCAACATTGGCCTATCGAATAAACCCGATGGTCTTTGAAGTTGTATCTCCGGCCGCAACGTATCCTTGGCCTCATTATCACCCAAAATATCTGGCTGAGAAAAGGATCGTGACAATGTACCATACGAGGACTTATTATTACTCGACTCATTGTCTGAATTTCCGGCTTCTTCAGTTTCGAAAAGCCCATTGATTTTACCCCGCTTACAGTTGTCCTCGTTGGAACTAAATGTTCCCACATATAAAATCTCCGAATCTCTTTGAACACCACTTAAAGATGTTATTGTCCTTCGGCCATCTGGTTCTATTTCCCCAATTTTAAAGCCAGAATCGCCTCCGCCCGAAGAAAAGGCCTTGGATTTCGAGGAAAATGTATTGCCTTTGCGGCTGGCCACCGAACCACCGCCACTACTGCCAGCCGTACTGCCTCCAGTTTGTACCAACTCACTGAACTTGACACCTCCACTACTTGCCGTGGGAGAATTTTCCTTGGGTATCTTATGTAAATTTCCCTGACTGGACCATATTTTCTGTTTTAATGTGGACAACATTTTGCCGGACTTGCCATTCGTGGCCGTCGTTGGGGATTTCGGTTCCTTTTGTTCCTGATCTTGTTTCTGCTGACGTTTCATATACTCCTTTATGCGTTTTTCACAATTCTTTTCGGCCACTTCTTTCATGGCTTTGGCCTTTTTTCTAAAAGGAGAATTTTTTCAATTATTGTTGGGTCGCTCCATTGATTCTGTTACTCACCTATCGCTGGCTTCGAAATTTGCCGTAGCCGCATCCAAGTAACGCAAAATCTCATCTCGATTGTTAATAGCTGCCAAATCTTTGGCACTGTGCTTATCAATGTCCAGGGCATAAATGTTGACGCCAAATTTCACCAGGAAATCCACACAGCGCAAGTGGCCCTTGGCCGCAGCCAAATGCAGGGCTGTATTACCGAACTGATCACATTTGTCGGGATCACCTCTGGTAATGTAGATGTGGAAGGGTTTTATAAATTTGAAATTTGTAATGGAAAATATACATGGCATTGGAGAGTGAGAAAAAAAGAGAGGGAGAGATTATCCGAGGTGTAAAATTTGGCTTCCACCCAGTTTCCAAGAAATAATATTGCTTAAGGAAATTCTACTTTTTAAAATTTTGTTTTATAATCAAATTCGGCAAACTGCTTCACTCGGAAACCTTTGGTCCATTGTTTTCATCCTCTAACATTCGTATCACTGTTTCCCCCAGGAAAAATGATGGGCATTTGCGTCATATCCTAGGATAATATCGTATGTTCCGCCTTTAGGTCCAGGACATCTTTGGCTGCTGGTTTCGGGTCTTTAATAGGCATGTAAATCGAGGATATCAGCCTTACAGTGGCGATGTCTCCTTTACATGTCCACATTTTTGGAGGCGAACATCGTATAGTTCTTATCCTTTAGTCCAGAAACCCTATTGTTGAAAGATAGAGTTCCTGGACCAAGGCGATATCGATATTTGACGCCGAGAGGTTTAGCTGGAGTTCGTCCCCGCGTTGATGCAGATTAATCTGCACCAGGCAAAGACCCGACTACTTGTCCAGTGCTGCTTCATTTATGAGAAGCCAAAGTGAATCTTTCGCCACCGAAACTTAGCAATCCCACTCCACTTTTAAAGAAGGCCTCTCCGGCCTTGTTTGTTACTATTTTAAGAACCACCCCGCTGTTCTTAGAAAAGACGTTTAGCGCACGCCAGTTTCAAGTGCTAAGACCAGTTTTTCCGCTTCTCAACAAGCTTCAGAATCTCCTTTGAATCCATTATGGAAGGTGGATCTTTGAGATAGACAATATAGCGACGTTGCTGCCTTCCCATTAACTGCGAAAATTATTAAATCTACCGATTCCTTATTTTAGCAGGTAATGACCCTGACTGTACTATAGACTACAGCTCGGCCAATCCATACATTCCGATGTTCCAACTTATCCGACAAGATCTTTCCGTCGATCAGAAGCCAATGATCTTTGCTAATGTACTCATTGATGTCACTCTGACTAATGACTGCTAGTCTAGGGTCATTCGGTATCATCCGTTGAGCAGATTGATGCTCTGCTTCGGTTTTGGGTATCAAGATTTCTGCGAGATATTACCGACAGAAACGGTTTTCGCCTTCCCATTAGTGTGTTTCCGACGAATCTTCTTTGCCGCCACCGAAGCTGTACCGTCTGCGTCGTCAACATTTTCTTCGCCTTGGGTTGCTGTTCCTCAGCTGACCGCATTTTCTTCACAGTCATTGGCTGAGATGGGGACTTGGTCGCCTTCGATGCTGCCTCTTTAAGCGAGATAGACAACTCAGCCGACTAGATACCCTTATGTCTGCTCACAGTTGCTTTTGTTTCATTTTACCACGTTCTCAGTTGTAGGGGGTTGTATTTGTGATGGTAAACTGATTGGATCGGCAGAGCCGGTTTCCAGGGTTTAGCAGGCTTTGATTTCTTCTTCTTCCTCGCAGCCGTTTTCGAAACTTGCGCATGGGATCTTCGAGACAGACACCGCGGCGACCTTGCTACCTTCCCAAAGGCTATTATCTGAGGAAATTAGAAACTCTAACGATTCTTTATTTTCACAGGTAATGACCCTGACTCAACTATGGACTGCAGCTCGCCCAATCCGTACATTCCGCTGTTCGGCCTGCGTGATGGACTGTTGTACCGTCCGTGTCGTCTCCATCAACTTCGCCTTGGATTCCTCCACATCAACTGGCCGCGTCCTTTTCACAGCCACTGGCTGAGAGGGGTACTTGATCGCCTTCGATGCAGCATCTTTAAGCGAGATTGAGAACTCAGCCGATAAGATACCCTTGTGTCTGCTCGCTGTATCCTTCGTTGCAGTCGTCTCTGTCCTGTCCACATGTTGCTTTGCCACGTTCTCTATGTGTTGATGAAACAACTGATGGGCGGAGCCCGTTTTAAGGCTTTGATTTCCTTTTTTTCCTCACAGCCTTTTTGAGGCCTGAGGATTCGTAGCCTTAGCCTCCCTTTCCTTCCCTTACGTTTTAATACCCTCCACAATAGTTTTAAGCTTGTCATTCCGTTTGTAACACCTCGAAATATACATTTTAGACCCCACAAAGTATTCAAATTTATTATTTGAAGGATGCTACAGGCCAATGAGCCATGTAGGTCCATGTTTTGGTATAGCCCCCGATATAACGGTACCTCCCGATATTCGATATTTTGATGATTTTAGCTACATTTTTCGTCGGAATTGTTTCAAATTTTGTATTTGAAGACAGAAAAGTGTCTGTGCAAGTCCACGTCTTGTACAGCCCCCACATAACGGTATCTCCCGATATTCGGTACTTTGATGATTTTAGCGGCATTTTTCGCCGGAATTGTTTCAAATTTGGTATTTGAAGTTTGTAATGGATACTCCAGCCTAAGACAGAAAATTGTCAGTGCAGGTTCACGCCTTCATAAAGCCCCCATAACGGCACCTCCCGATATTCGGTATTTTGATGATTTTAGCGACATTATTCACCTAAATTGTTTCAAATTTGGTATTTAAATAGATACTACAGCCTATGACAGAAAATTGTCTCTGCAGGTCCACGTCATGGATATTTTGATGATTATAGCGACATTATTAACCGGAACTTTAAGATATTAGTTTCGAGATTTTAGCAGAATTTTCAACGGATTTTATTTTTTTGAAAATTGCCAAATTCGTTCGCACCTTTCCCACTTTTCTTGCAAAGTTGAGAAAAACTGCTTAAAATCACAAAAAGAAGTTGCTGGACAATTACTGCTGGAATAGTAACCAGGCAGACCTATTATGGCGCCCAAATGTATACTCCATGTGAATTATTTTTTTCTTGCTTATAAATCTAGGCATCCGAACAAACCAGATGATACTGTCTTTATCTTCCCTCTTAGTGCAACATTTTTACATCCAAGTTTAAGCCTCTTTTCATATTATTTCTTGTTCCGATATACTTTAGATTTAGATATTATGTCCAGAAGTATGCGCTTTAATTCGTCTATTTCTTTATTTTGTATGAACCCATCTCATCTTCTTATATGTTCGAATTTCTCTCTCTCTCTTTCTCTTTCTCTCCTTCTTTACATTCGCAAAATTCCTTCTTACCCTCTGCCACACAACAGCCGTAGAGCTTCCAAATGTCCTTCGAATGCTGCCCATAACACCGGTGTCATTGAATCGTCATCTTTCGAGTTGGCATCTTTGCGTGTGGCCTCTTTTAGGACATCCAAGAGACCATCCTTGGCGGCTCTGCAAGAGAAGTGTTTATAAAAATTATGTTTCTCTCTCTCTCGATAGTAAGATATTCCAGAATCAGCACCAGCACCATTAAGCGAAAGACGAGCAATGTCAAGTTATCTTTAAACATTTTCTGATAAGATAAACATGACTAATTTCGAAAATTTCTAATACTAACTTGTGAAAACGTTCCGATGACATTTTGTTGTTGGTTCCAGGTTTTTAGCAGCAATTCAAAATTTGGGGCATCAAAAGTTTTGGTAGAAAATCTAGGAAACGAAGTTGAACAGCTAACAGGCCATAAGTTGTTAAAATTTCAGGATATATTTATCTACTACTGTATATAAGATATGAACTGGATAACTAATTGTAGTACCCGCTTTTGTAGATTTGTTTAGATATTCCCGATCTATTTTTAGTTTTTCATAACTTCAGAGAAGAGTTAGGTACGAAAGAAGGTACCATAAATGGAAAGTGTAATTCGAGACACATCAAATGCCAAACACGTTCGCGTACGTTCGTTCTTCTTATTTTTCTTCTTTGTTTGTTGTTATTCGGAATGAATGAGAAAGCACTTAATTCGGCTTGATATTGTTGCTTGCCCGCAAAGAGTTATCACTGACCCGTTTTACGATCACCATTCATGTCCACACATTCCGACACATTGTTGCATGAGTGCCTACGATGATGGTATGCGTTCCAAACTTTTATTACAACACGTCGTGACGAACTGGCCCTGCTGGCCTGGTCGCTCATTAATTTTAGTTGAAGTTCAACAATTCATTAAAACATTTCTGTTCCACATACAATGAGATACAATTCCGGCAGTGGGGCTAGATACATTGATTGCATTTCCAAATTAATGTTTGGTTGATGGCAAATTGTTACACTTGTTGTTGTAGCTTTTTCGGAGTTCGGTTCGTTTGTTTGATTTGTTATTTATCCATTACAAACAACATCAATTACGCGTCTCTTTGTTGTCTTTTTTTACTCAAGCGTAGAGCACGAAAACCTTCAAAACAACTTCACTTCACTTCAACCTCACTGATTCGATTCGAACTTTGTCAGCCAGCCACAATGGGGATTCGCTTCTTTTGCAATGAGACAAGTTCAAGGGGTCACAACACAAAACACTCGCTTTCTTTTGGCTTTTTTTTTTTGCCCCGAAAATGTCAATGGAACACATTTAGTTTTTACAATTCCCCCATTACTTCTTTGCCAAACTTGTAGTCATCATTCATTCACTTGTGAAAAGCTGGCTGGTAGCTCATCGTTGTCATAGGGAAATTGTACGGACACACACACAAACACTCATAGCATTAAAGTAGAAATGGAAAGAGTTTCGGGTTTGTGGCAACTTCCACTTCACAGCTAACCAAGCGCGCGTTATTTGCCGTTGTTCCGATGTTGTTTAGAAGAGAGTCTGAGCACAACTAACTCCAAATGTGGCTTACAAAGTAAGTTTTAGCCGCATTCTATTTTGGCCATACTCTCATCAAACTCATGATGTCAACATTTTGAGTAGACAAAGAGAATCAATGTAAAATACTAGCAATGAGAGCGATTGAGCATAATAACAACAACCGTTTTATGAAATATGAAAGAGAGTAGACTAAATTTTTGATCTCTTTCAAAAGATCTTAAACATGGAATGGGGATACACTTAGCGTTACCATTTTTAAACCCTCCACCATAGTTTGGGGGGTATATTAAGATTGTCATTCCGTTTGTGACACCTCGAAATATACATTTTAGACCCCACAAAGTATATATATATATATTCTTGATCAGCATAAAATTCTATGTCGATTTATCGATGATCGTCCGTCTGTGGAAATCACTCTAGCTTCCGAACGAAATGTGGTAGGTTGATAAAATTTTACTGAAATGTATATTAGGTCTGGTATTGAAAATGGGCCATGTAGGTCCACGTTTTGGTATAGCCCCATATAATGTATGTTCGGTATTTTGGTGATTTAAGCGATATTATTCACGGGAATTGTTTCAAATTTGGTATTTGAAGTTCGTAATGGATAGTATAGCCTAAGACAGGAAATTGTCCATGCAGGTCCAGGCCTTCGTATAGCCCCCATATAACGGCACCTCCCGATATTCGGTATTTTGATGATTTTAGTGACATTATTCATCGGAATTGTTTCAAATTTCGTATTTGAAATGCGTAATGGATACTACAACGTATCCCTAATATAACGGCTACATTCGGTATTTTAAGACTTTAAGATAACTTTAGCGTTACCCTTTTTATACCCTCAACCATAGTATGGAGGGTATATTAAGCTTGTCATTCCGTTTGTGACACCTCGAAATATAGTATATACATTCTTGATCAGCATAAAATCCTATGTCGATTCTATTTCGATTTTCTATGTCAATTTAGCGATTTCCCTCCGTTTGTGGAAATCACTCTAGCTTCGGAACGAAATGAAGTAGGTTGACAAAATTTTACTCAAATGTATATTATGTCTGCAGGACTTTTGGTATTAATAATGGGCCATGTAGTTCCACGTTTGGATATAGCACATATATAATGGTACCTTCCTTATTTTCGGTATTTCATGATTTTAATGACATTATTCATCGGAATTGTTTTAAATTTGGTATTTGAAGTTCGTAATGGAAACTACACCCTAAAACAGATAATTGTCTTTGCAGGTCCACGTTTTTGTATATCCCCCCATATAATGGTTCCTCCATATTTTGATGATTTTAGCTTCATTATTCACCAATTTTTTTCCAAGTTTCGCATTTGAATATTGTAATGGCTTATGACAAAAGTTGACTATGCAGGTCCACGTCGTCGTATAGACCCTAATATAACGGCTACATTCGGTATTTTTAAGACTAACAGAATTTTAACGGACTTTTTTTTTTTGTAAATTGTCAAATTCGTTCCAAATGGTGGAGGGTATTCAAAGTTCGACCAGGCCGAAATTACAGCTTTTTTACTTGTTAATTTCTATTTCAAGTGTACCCATTTTTTTTTTTTTTTTTTTTTTTTTTTTTTTGATCACCAATAACGTAAAATATTTGAAGAAAGTCTTTGTATCGGCCAAAGGTTTAGAGATAAGTTTTTTGGAAATTTATATTAGACTAGCTAGTGCACCTAAAAATTAGATTTTAGTTCGAGTAATCACTCAAAATTCACAATTTGTTCAGTTTGACACAAATTTTTTAATCAAAACTTCATAAATCGTACAAAAATGTCAGCCTTTTTAGTTTTTTTCTTTTTCGGAAAGAAAAATGGGAAAATGTTTGCCTTTTGCACCAAAAAGTCTATAATTTTGAAGTTTACTGAGGAGGATTATAGTACCCATTTGCAAAACCTCTACCAGATACCAACAGAGACGAATGTTGGGATTCCAGTTCTATAAATTCACTCACTATTTAATTTAGTAACATTTAGTACTTTTCGTATAATTTTAGTACACATTTCCAACCTCCATATCTCAATTTCACATACCAACAGGGACCTCAATATCAAATATGAGAATTCCACACCTATCCCTTCTCCCAATACCAAATTTAGTACAATTTAGTACAAATTCGGACAAATATAGGACAGATTTCCTAACCATCGCCTGAAACACAGTTAGATTCGCTCTCTATTCGTTGTTTGACCCTTAACTATGAAAAAACTACCTAATTCTTCACACAAAATTTCCTGAGCGAACACTCATATTTGTACGTTGTTCAAATCAAATCACTCTCAGAACAACGAAAAAATATGTCCCATCCCTAACAAATGAGAGCATTTATCGAAAAAATAAATTATGACATTTAAAAATTAAAAATAGAAAAATTTGATGAAATTTTGAAAATTTTCGGGAAGACTGAAAATTATGAATGAAAACTACAATGTTGAATGGCGTATGTACATTCAAACGAAAGTACATTTTGTTTTCTCTCTCATTCGAGGTACGCATTTTATCCACAAGTTGAAATTTCCACAGAAAACTGCAAACAAAAGAGGCAATATTTTCAAAAACTTTGTATCGGCAGAAAAAATGTTTGACAAGTGTCTCTCCAGCAAAATTTAAAAATAGAAAAATACAAAAAAATGTTCAAAATGTCAACATTTGCACAAAAAGTTGAAAACGTGAATGAAAATTATAAAATTAATGATATAATAAATATTTGGGAGAAAAACAATCATTTCTTCTATTCATATTAGTAAGAATTTCATGTATTTTCGTATAAATTCCCATTAAAATCAACAAACAAAATTTTTGAAAAAAGGAATTATTTTACTATGAATTACGAATCGTGCCGTATGAACGGGTTAATTCGTGTACATAATTCTGAGAGCGAACAACGTTGTTCGGTTTCCAATGGAAACATGCTATTACCATCAGTAATCTAAATATGAAATTTCAGAATTTGATTTCTACCCCTTCGCCCAAAACCATTCATTCATTCAGTACTTTTCGTACAATTATAATACATTTCCGAAACCACCTAGTCATGTCCGGGATACACATGATCAGCGACCCTAATATCAATTTCAGGTTTCAAGCATATATCTGTTCACCTAAAGCAAATTGTACCAAATATAGTACTCTTTGTACGCTTGTATTACTATTTTCCAAAACCACTTCTTTATCACAAATTTACCACCAACAGGGACCCCAATACAAAATTTCAAAATTCCAACTCCATCCGTTCACCAAACTGTTCCAAATTTAGTACTATTTAGTACAGTTCGCACGCTTAGTACACATTTTCAAACCCACCTTCATATATCAAACTTACTTTACAACCGTGATTCTCATACCAAAAACCTTAAAACCTTTCGTAGCCTTTAAGTGCTTAAAGCGAAGCTTAAAGTTCAGATTTTTAAAAACCCTTTCATACATATTTTCTGAACTTCATCAGTAACTTTCATTCTAAATATGTAGTCGTAGATTTTGCAATGCATTTTGCATCGCTCCAAAATCGAAATTTTCTGCTGATCTATGTACCCATTGAGCCAATAGTATTTTTACAATTTTTTTCAATATCGTGAAGGGAAAATCGGTTAGCTTAGTAAAAATTTTTACATTCTTGGAGTTCTGGAACAGGCCACATATCATCTAGAAAAAGTTTGATTCCTCATCCTCTCATCCACAAACGGCAAAATCCCTAATTGAAATTTTTCATTGTCTGACTATAGAGTGGAAAGAGCTACTTCATCTCCACTCTCTCCTCGAAAGCTGAAAAATACATTTCAGCGCCTGACATAAGACAAATTTTAAGTGGCATGTTTCATTTTCCATAACGGAAAATCGTTTCTATTTACTACACACAATACGATAATATTCGATAATTGGTTTCCCTCCACCAATAACATCACCCCAATTGATTAGTACACAATCGACCTTTAGATCCCTCATAAATACATATACCACCAGAAAAAAGAAAACACGATATATTTTTTTGTAACAATTATTAAAAATACGGCCAAAACTTAGCCACAAAGGGCAGTAATTTTAGAATATTTCTTTGAAATCTCTTCCCAGTGCGTTGTGCTGTGACGTGACTGTGTCTGTGTGGGTGTGTGTTTTGTAAAAGACAAGAAGATTGAATTCAAATAAAAAAAATCATGGTGCAAGACAACAACGAGGAAGAGAGGAGCGTTTTTGTGCAATAGATTTTCATTGGAACATTGAATCCTTGAAACGAAATTCGAAATATTCTACAGTAATCATCAACGTTGTCGTCATTGTCACCATCCATCCATCCATTCTTCACGTCGATCGATATTGCGTACAAGCAAGCCATCATCTATGGAACCAGCAATCTTCCAATCGATATGTTGCTATTCTTTTCCAAAATATTTTGAAAAATTGCCAACAAAGGAAGCAAAAGGGGAAACTACATTGGGATTTCAAGAATAACAACTTCAGGTATAAGCGGAAGTACGGTGTAAACATGTAACATATGGTGGTGCCTGCCTTACGGATGACACACCATTCATCCCCCCATCTAATATACAATATTTAATGGATATTTATTTGTTTTTGTTTTTCGTTTTAGGATAATGTAGATTTTGCGTAGTAACGTAGTGCCAATTTCAGCCAGTATATAATAAATAGTAAATGCATTAGATCAGATTTCAGAAATTTCCAACAGCACATCAGACAAACAACAACCAGAAATTATCATTTGCACAATTCAACAAAATACTAGAGCCTACCTACAGCAAACAAAAATAAATCCCCCCTGCGCACATTTTCACTTTCAATGCAACAACACAATCCGAACAAACTTCATTCGAACGAAATTAACCAGTACCATCATAGAAGAAGAGTAGCAAAAACAACAACAGCAGCAGCAGCAACAACACAAGAGAGCCCCCCTGCAGCAGAACATACAATTACCAAGTAGACTTAACACAAGAAGAAGAACTGCCACTATATTACGTTCGGTACCAAAGCAAATAGAAGACCTTTTAATTATTTTTTATTGTAATTTAGACTGTATACCAAAAGGCAGAAGCGAAAGAAGTTCGTTTTTACAGAACAAAAGAAACAAAATCGAGAATAAAGGAATTCAAATTCAAGACGTTTTCCCGCTATGGGAAACTGCCTGAAATGCTTCCAGTCGACATCAGAACATCCGTCAAACACATTGGGTAGTGGTGTCGCTACTTCATCGTCTATGCACTCTGGCTGTCACCCTACTACACACATTGTAGATGGTCGCTACACAGGCTTGGCGGCGACAACAGCAACAACAAACATAAACGCCAATGATGGTAATCATCAGCAACTGCCACATCATTTGCATGTTGTAAGAGCTACTTTCTCCTCCAAGGAAAGATCTCATGGTAGGATATTGCAAATGCCATTAATTTTCTATTCATTCTTTAACTCAGTGTTTTTTCCTTTAGAAACTGATGAACTGCTCTCTACCAGAAGTCCACTCAAACCAGCAAACCATTGTGATACAAAACGTAGTAGTTTTAAGAAATCGTTAGCACTGCTTAATGGTAATGCATCAACCATGTGCGATATTATAACAGCGGGTAAGAGTTTGGTTTTTCAAAAAAATATGTGTGGATTTGATCTTAGTAATCAATTGAATACTTTTACTTCCATCCACACAGTTAAGGAAACATCTGAAGTGTCCGATAATACCCTGAACAAATTATTTGAGGAATATAAAGAGCCAGACGAGGACATGATATTGGCAGATGGTATCGAACGTTTATGTTGTGATCTCAATTACCAACCAGATGAATTTGCCATTTTGGTGCTAGCCTGGTGCTTAGATGCTTCACAGATGTGTCGCTTTACACGTAGTGAATTTATAGAAGGTTTACATAAAATGCGAGCCGATACTATAGAAACCATACGCATAAGACTGGAGCAGACAATCGAAACATTAAAAGTCGATTCCGAAATGTTCAAACAGCTATATAGATTTACATTTAGGTAAGCAGCATAGATGACTACTTGGTTTCATTTATTATTTCAAAAACCTTGTTTGTTTGCAGATTTGGCCTGGAACCAGATCAAAGAATTTTATCCTTAGATATGGCCATTTCATTGTGGAAATTAGTATTTACCGTACACACCCCCGATTTACTTAGCAAATGGATACATTTCTTAGAGCAACACCCTAGTATAAGAGGCATTCCAAAGGATACCTGGAACATGTTCTTAAACTTTTCGGAACAGTGTGATATAAACAATTACGATGACACGGAAGCATGGCCAAGTCTATTCGACGATTTTGTAGACTACGAAAAATCGCGCTTAGAAACTGGCGACGATGACAACAACAATGACGATCCTTTGCAACAAAAACAAATGCAAGATAATTCAAGCTCAATTAATGTATTATAGTATTAAGACCAGAGAGACAGCCACAACAGTAGCACATGCAAAGTAATTTCGTTCGTTGCCGTTCCCTTCATCAACATGAATGGAGGTGGTGGGCGTGTTAAATTATAGTTAGATGTGTAAATTAAATTGTAAAATATTCATGAAATTCTCTGCAGGATTGAATTCCCTTGAGATGTTTCATTTCGTTTTTAACATTCCCCGAATATCCAGAACCCCCGACTGTCGATTTGTTGTAACCACTCGCCCCAAATTTTGTTGGATGTCGTTTTTTCGGTGCTGGTAACCCTGTCAAGAGAAGAACGATCTCAACATTTTTACATTTGAATCTGAAGAATTGTTTGTGTAACTTTCATTATTGTACATAATCTTTATTTGAAAACTACAAAAAAAATCATGTAACTCATTGCTGACGAAAAACAAACAAGAAAAAAAAAACACAAGAAATGTATTTATTTGAATTAGATAATACATTATTTCACATACATACTACATTAAAAACAAAAAAAAAAAAAAAAAAAAAAACAATACCATGATCGATCATGTACGTGATGGATTTGCATTTTACAAATAATAATAAAAATATATACATACACATTAAAGAATGGAATGTTTTTAGAAGTGCTGTCAGTCGGTGGTGGTACTAAATTGGTGGGATTCTTAAAATTGAAATAGAATTGGGGGCAGTGAATAAGAACAGAGGCCAGACATACACATATCTATAGATCCATGATTTTATAACTAAATGTATAATGTTGAAGAAAGCACTATTGGTAAAGAAAAATTCTCCAAAGACAACCATCACTATATGTTTAATAGTATCCATTGAAGAAAAGAAAACTTATCAGGACAAAGTTTAGATAATATTCATTTGCTATATTGGGAAGTTGGTCGTTTGATACAAAAATCATCTAATTTGGTTCATCCTAAGGTCAAAAATGCTATATTGCACAGTTACTAATAATAAACACCATTTGGTAAAAAAAATTAACAAAAAGTATCTTGATTCAAAAATATTCCACTTTAATGTGCAAAAACCAGGGAGATCGATTGAAGAATGCAGTTAAATTTTTAAAATACATAACAAAACGGGAAGAAGAGGTAAAACCCATTAAAAGCTGTAGATACCAAATTAAAAAAGAAAATCGTGATAAATACAGAATATCGAGAGGTAGTCTAGAGGAAAATGTGGACCTATACAGACAATGTTCTGTCACCGGAAATATAACCCTTTACAAACTTTTAATACCAAATGGTACAATTTCTTGAAAAAATGTGACTAAAATCATCAAAATACCGAATATCGGGAAGTACCTTCATATTGGGGGCTATACGAAAACGTGGACCGACAAAATAAACTATTGTGCTAAATGCCAAACCTCTACCTCATAAAATGTGGACTGTATCATGATTTCAACAAGAATATAATGTTGATTATGAGTATACGACGAATATTTAGAGGTGTTATAAACGCAATGACAAATCTAATATACCCACTTTTTTAAGGTGAATGCCATAAAAACTGTCTGTTCTTTTCTCATTAAAAATAGATAACAAGTAAAAAAATGTAAGTTCAGCCGGGCCGAACTTTGAACGCCCTCCACCATTTGGAACGAATTTTCCAATTTTCAAAAAATAAAATCCGTTAAAAATTCTGTTATAATCTTAAAAATACCGAATGTATTAGTAGTTAAAATCATCAAAATACCGCACATCGGGAAGTGCCGTTATATGGGAGCTATACGAAGACGTGGACCTGCACAGACAATTTTCTGTCTTAGGCTGTAGTGTCCATTACGAACTTCAAATACAAAATTTGAAATAATTCCGGTGAATAATGTCACTTAAATCATCAAAATACCGAATATCGGGAGGTACCGTTATATGAGGTCTATACGAAGACGTGGACCTGCACAGACAATATTCTGTCTTAGGCTGTAGTATCCATTACGAACTTCAAATACCATATTTGAAACAATTCCGGTGAATAATTTCGCTAAAATCGTCAAAATACCAAAAATAGGAAGATCCCATAATATGGGGGCTATACCAAAACGTGGACCTACATGGCCCATTTTTAATGCCAAAAGTCCTGCAGACATAATATACATTTGAATAAAATTTTATCAACCTACTTCATTTCATTCGGTAGCTAGAGTGATTTCTACAGACGGACGGACATCGCTATATCGACATAGAATTTTATGCTGATCAAGAATATATGTCTATTTCGAGGTGTTACAAACCCATAGTATGGGGGATAAAACTATGGTGGAGGGTATAAAAAAGCGCACAGACATTCATAGACTCACATGAAATGATCATGAAAAGTGACTTCTAATATATTTTGCTTCCTTTTGCATTTTACAAACAAATCCACAAATATTTGATACCCACTGAAATTCCTTAATTTATTTAATAAATATTCAGTGCATTTAGGTCAAACACATTTCACTTTTCTGAACATATTAAGATGCTGTATTTTTTCACTATTTCGATCTTTTCTTCATAGACCTCTTTTTCATAAATTCAAATCACCCTATAACATTGGCTGCCTCTCACATTTGTGTGTGAATACCCGATAAGTCGATAACAGCAGAAATATGTGTCATCATCGAATAATCGTGAATCAAGTGCAAATAATCGGTAATCCAGCAATCATCCTGAAAATCCAAAAAATCCAATGAAAAACAAAATAACAGAAGAAAACAAGGTCCACAAAGAAAAAATAAAACAGAAAAGAACAAAGTATCCCTTCAATAAATCTTCGTCGGCAAAAAATACACTCGGACAATAGAAGGTTATCAAACATTTGGAATGCGATAAGAATTATCGTAATTAGCTAAGAACGGGAATGGACAAGAAGTTATTTGCCATTCTGTTGTGAGTTATGATCGTGCGAGTGCAATTTAATATTTATGATTACAACAATAGCAGCAACAATAATGATATGGGAAATGTTATGACGGCCTCATCTGCAACATACGCAGAAACGAATAACAAAGTGATTCATTGATTTTTGTGCAAGCTAGAGCCTGCCTGTCGCGGCGGAAGTAGTAGTGGAGCGAGCTAGTGTGCGTGTGTATGTGTCTTTGATTTTGGTGACAATTTTGGTTGATTTGACGAGTCTAGGCGTCTAGGAACCAACTGACGACTGTCAAATCATGCCTTGCGAACAATGCCATGTCCAATTTACCGTCTTCAAACGCAAAAAAAGCTGCTCGGATTGCAAGCGCTACTACTGCCACTCTTGCCTGGTGAACACCCGCAAACATTCACTGCTGTGCGACCGATGTTTGCTATTTAGTCGAAGACCACTGCAGAGATCCGATTTGGTCCAACTGAAGACCAAAGACTTGATATTCTATTTGCAATCGAAGCACATCTCTACGGCTGGCTGTGTCGAGAAAGAGGATTTAATTGATTTGGTTATGCGAATGGATTCCAATCAGAATCCATCATCGTCGAGTGGAAGCAGTAGCAAGAGCAGTAGTAAAAGTACGACACCGCAACACCAGCAATCGGCTAGTGAAGGCAATGGGAATGCGGGGACCGGAGGCAATACGAATTCCTTTGATAATATAAAACAAACGTGCCAAAATTTCTTTAGTAGTTTAAGTGAAAATATAAGTGATTCCTTTGCCAATTTGGAGAGCAGGGCTTGTTCGAAATCACGAGGGGATCGACAGAATAGGGGTGCAGCGAATGTTACCGAACAGCCCAGGGTAGCTACTAGGGAAATACCAACGTATGCTAGCAGGCAACAAAGAACTGCAAGTGTTGAGGTGGTATCGCCCACAGAATCGACGGAGACGCGAACGCCCACAACTAATTCAAATCCATTGCCACCACCACAACCAACGGAGAGACAAGAATCGCCATCATCACCCCAATCACCAACGTCTACTCGTCCCAGTCCATTGACAGAGGAACAAGAGCCAAAGGAAGAGGAATCCAAGCCCTCTACTAGGATCATATACGAGGGCGATTGTGAATGTTCCGATGAAGAAGAACTTATTGCCACATTTAGTACACGGACCAGATCGCCTAAAATCGCAATAGAACCTTCCATAAGTAATGATGAAACCGATCAAACCAATCCTGGCGCACCATCTACATCTGCCTCAACTTCCAAGCCCTCCTCACAGTACTCCAAACTGGAAATTTACATAAACGAAGAGGAAGAGTCTTCACATTCTTCATTCGAAGAGCTGGGAGCAATTGGCGGCATTTCGGATGACAGTAAGACCACCACTGATACCACTAGCAATACTACAGATCAATGGCAAATTTTAGATCTAAAACAGGATGGATCTTCCAATCAGACTATGGAAACACCTGATGGCAATGGTTCGACCACAAACCAACAATCTGTGGATGAAACCTCTCCAAAGCCGCAAACCTCAGCAGCACCACCACCCCCACCACCACTCCGTCTCAAGAAAGTAATACGCAGACGTTCCGAAAGCTATCTCAACCGTAGAAGACCTCAGATTAGCCTGGAAGAAGATGACGACGATGAGGATGGTACAATACTTTCCGTATCGATACCCAATCCTACATCGCGAATCGAAGAAGAAACCCAAACCTCTTCGACCACCAGTAACACCACAGCCAAACGCTGTTGTCTGCGTTGCGGCAAAAACAAAGCCAATATCAGACATCAAGTCGAAAAGCTTAGAAAACACTTGGAGAGTTCCCAAATGTCTGAATCAGATATAAAACAGGAATTGAGAGAATTTCTAGCTTATCTTGAACAACGCACCAAATCCGTGGAGTATTCAGATTCGGAGGCTGGAACGTCTACGCCCAGTGCCACTGGGCTAACGGATAATCAAATGGCAACACAAAGAGAATTCAATGTTAGTGGAACTTCAGCCGCTTTCAACTATTTTTCAGAATCTGATGTTGCCACAAATCAATATGAAAAGGGATCACGTTTCATTAATTTGGAAGACTACGACTCATTGTAAGTGCAAAATTCCGATAAAAAATAATATGACAATTATAGTTGATTGGAATTTTGAACTGATTTAAATTATCACAATTATAAATCTACATTTTAATGATATCATTATTTATATTCAGCAAACAACTTGAGGGTCTTAGTGTAAAACAATTGAAAGAAGTCCTTATGCTACATAGAGTCGACTACAAAGGCTGTTGCGAAAAGCAAGAATTACTGGATCGAGTAGGTCGTTTATGGAAAAATCTAAAATCCACACCAGGTATTCGTTTTAATGGCTTATTTGCTTTACAATCGAACTAAATTTCTTCATTTTATTTTGCAGCTGTTGATAAGTTACCCACAGACGAACTGTGTAAAATTTGTATGGACGCACCCATAGAGTGTGTAATTTTAGAATGCGGTCACATGGCTACTTGCACCAACTGTGGCAAGGTCTTAAGTGAATGTCCTATATGCCGACAATATATTGTAAGAGTTGTAAGATTTTTCCGCGCTTAGATATACATAAATAGTTTTCAAATCTTAACAGTACAGAACACATGACTATATTTTGTACTTTTCTTGTATTTACCCTTTGAAAGGGTAAGACATTTCTATTATTTGGTTTTAAAAAGCGAGCAGAACTCGCCAGTTACTATTATATTTAAATGTTTGTATTTTTTAGTAGCAGCAGGAGAAGTGTTTGGTATTGATTTTTAATTTTGAATTACAATAATTAATGGTTATTTCTATATAGTATTTAGACGAAACAAATAATATTATAATAATAATTATTCTTAGAACTTAAAAAGTGATAATTACTTGAGATTTTCATTCCATTAAAAAATTACTTAATAATAAAAACAAGTATTAGCTCAGTAAACAATGGAATGTATAAAAATATAAATAATAACTGTTCGTACCTTAAATTATATATTTGACAAAATGGTTTAATACAGTATAAATAAATTTATTTAAATTTTCATCTGTAAGAATTGCTGCGTTTCTTTTTATATTTGGGTGAGGTACAATTAGGAAGTAGGTTTTAAATAATGCCTTGTACCTATTTCATATTATGTGAGTAGTGTTAAACTGAAATTGACTTACCTGAGCTTTTGTTTGAATTTTCGGATGAGACATATTTGCAATGTTAACGTGTTGCTGAAAAGAAGAAAAAATATTTTTTGAACAACATCCGACTTGAGTCCAAGACAATGAAATTATTCATTGTTATACCCTCCACCATTGTATGGAGGGTATTTTAATTTTGTCATTCGGTTTGTAACACCTCGAAATATACATTCTATGGTGATTTAGCGATGTCCGTCCATCTGTCCGTTTGTGCAAATCACTCTAGCTTCCGAACGAAATGAAGTAGATCGATAAAATTCTGCTCAAATGTGAATTATTTTTTTCTGGACTTGTGGTATTGAAAATAGGCCATGTAGGTCCACGTTTTGGTATAGCCCCCATATAACGGTACCTCCCGATGTTCGGTATTTTGGTGATTTAAGCGACACTATTCACCGGAAATGTATCAAATTTGGTATTTAAAGTTCGTAATGGATAATACAGCCTATGACAGAAAATTGTTTGCGCAGGTCCACGTTTTGGTATAGCCCCCATATAATGGTATCTCCCTATATTCGGAATATTGGTGATTTTAGGTACATTATTCACCGATTTTTTTCAAGTTTCGCATTTGAATATTGTAATGGTTTATGACAAAAGTTACCTATGTAGGTCCATGTCGTCGTATAGACCCTAAAATAACAGCTACATTCGGCATTTTTAAGATTTTAACAGAAATATTAACTGATTTTATTGTTTTTAAGAATTGCCAGATTCATTTCTCATTTCATTTATTTACCTACCAAATGGTGGAGAGTATTTGGCCAGGCCGAACTTACAGCTTTTTTATTTATCATTTTTTACTCCTTTATTGTCGAAAAATGGAATTCAAGGAAAATGCTTTCTGTGGTTTCAAAAAATATAGAAAAAAACAAAGACACAATCCAGATGCGAAATAGACTAGCTGTATAAGGCCTAGTAAAAATCGTGACTTCTTCCGCCAATGTTTTCCGAAATTTTTTCCAGTGGTAGGTATTTTTACCCTGAATTAAATTGCATACTTTTGTAAGTCCAACGCCGGCTACACGAAATAAAGTTTTTTTTTATTGAAAATATAATTTTAATTAACTGGTTAGACAATTTGCCTTAATGCCTCTGGACCCGAAAAAGGCATTAAGGCAAATTGTCGCATTTTGGAAAGGTAAGAGTGGCGGCCATAATTTGGCATCAATTTTGTTGACCCCCAAATTGGACCTTTTTTGAGAGGTTTTATAAAAAACCCAAGTCCAAAAAAATCGATAATTTGACTATAATTTCTGAACTGCTTATGGTGTGACCACTTGTTGGATAGGTTTTTTCATAAGCTTACGATACCTAGATTGTATATATCGGGTAAGTAGATCCAGGTCTTGGCAATAATGGAATCAGGTTAAAATAACCTACCTCTGGAAATTTTTCAAAAAAAAAAAACAAGAGATTTTACTAAACTACAGTTGTTCCCAGAATGATCTTGGAATAAGTAGTTGGCATTTCATTTTGCTGCGTTACAAATTCCCTAGCTTTAAAATATATCCATTTACTTACCATTTCAATGTCTTGCTTTGGACAATATTTTCTGCAGTTACATATAAATTGGAAATAACACAGAAGACACAATTCCATTCTATTTCAAAGATGATCACACAAAAAATATTAGGTTTTATATTCACAATATGAAATATATTCCCGTCAGACCAAACGTTTTCAACCAAGCGATATCGAATATATTATTCTAATCAACTGATTTATAAACACAACACAAGGAGCAATCACGAACGAACAAAAAAATCAAAGACCGACACAGGTTTTCTACATTTTCGGGAGTATTTTTCAGATATTACCATAACAAACCACACAAAACATATACAATAAACTTTTCTTTGCTATAGAACTTATAAAATTGTTATATTTTTTATAAAATTAATATTTGCGCGCATTTTTGAGCTTTTATTGTTGTTGAATGCTTGAACTTAATGCCAATGTTTCACAGGCTTCTAATTTAACGGAGTTGCCTGCTGCGTTTACTCATGCAACTGCCAGTTCGAAAAATACATTCAAACATGTTCATTTGCCAACGGACTTTCAAGTTAACTGGCAATAAATTTCCCGAGCCACATGACACAACTGGACTACCATGACAGGTGACTACTCTGTCAAGCTTTTTTGTGTCAAATAAACTATAAAAAAATTGCAATTATTTATTTTGTTTGTATTACATTTTTTACTTATTTCATTAAATTTGTTCCTCATTAACGTCAAAAATATAAATTATTCTTGCAACTGAATTCGAAATAATTTTAATGCTGAGCACTGCAAGTAAAATATGTGACTAAAAACAGCTATATTCTACTTCCGGTTACTGTAATGAAAGTCTACGAAGATAGCAACAAAAATAAAGTAGTCTGAAAATTATTCTTCTACCATGCTTGCTCTGTTCCGTTAAAAAGAGCTGCAACGGTCAGAAATAAATTTCATACTGTGGGAACCTAACATAAGTTTATTAGCAATGTACATTTGAAAGGTTCTTCGGGAAGTGGCAACTCTACACAAATGTTATTTTATACGTCCGGCATCTTTATATAGGAGACAAATAAACCTTATTTACATCAGGCAATTCAAATTTCTTTCTCGCCAATTGTTGATTTGTTTGTTGTCCAAAAAGGGGACGAAAATGTAATTCCCTCATTTTAAAACAACAACGCTCTTACCAACGAACTGGCAATTACGGTAATTATAAAAAGAAGGTAGGATTCTCTCTCACTCTCTCTCCAACAACAATCTCATAATTGGCGCCATTATAAGCTTCAGGCCTGCAATTGCAGGCTTTTTCTTTGTTGAAATGATTGCTACTGGTTATCAAATAATGGTGCAGACAAAAGCCGAGAAACGACCATCAGTTGAAAACTTATGGCCTTGTGTATTTCCACCCGATGCCCCCAAACACGGTACTTTGACGGAAATATCTGGAGTCAAAGAAGAGGAGCTATTGTTGAAAATCATTGCACGAACTGTTTTGCCTGAGAAATATGGCGGCAAATCCAGTCAAGTCGTTCTCCTTGACTTGAACCACAAAATTGATGAAATTGAAAAACATCTATTGGATGTGATGTCGTTGAGTGAGAACTTTTCCCAAGAGGATCCAAATCGAACCGATGATATTATAAGAACGTGTTTGGACTCCATCATTTTTATTGCCTGTTACTCGTCAGAACAATTTGATTTGGCCCTCGAAGAACTTGAGGAATTGTTGTGGAACAACGAGAACATAACCCTGTTGTCTATCTTTGGATTGGATGCTTTCTATTGGGATGATTGTTATGATCGTCTACAGCGTATGATTATCCACTATCGAAATTTGTGTCAGCGTTTGCAGAAGATCTGTAAACAACATAAAATATGTTGTATTTTTACGATGGAAACGAACTATTTGCAAACCAAATTAAACGGCAAGGTCAAGGTTAGTAACGTTTACAATTCTTATGTAGATTACAGAATTAGACTGTCTTCAAGTGATGGCTGTCTCCATCTCAATGATAAACCTTTTTCGTTTGATATGAAATAAATTGAATATTATGACTTAATTACGCCTGACTTCTCGGATTGGCCGATTTTTCAAAGGAAAGTGAAGCGTTTCTGTCGAATGAGGCACATGTTGATGGTTATCCCTTTATATAAATTGCATAACATACAAAAGGATGTTGGTTTAGTACTTACATCGGCCACATACGACATAGCAATAGTCGACATAGTGGCACACAATTTTTGTGATACATCCTAGTATCTACCTTAGTAGCCAAGTCAGTTAAGAAGTCATAAATCATCTGACCATTGTTTCTGCGTTCATGAAAGCATATTTATTGACTTGAACAGAGATGCACTAAAATTCGAAAAAAAAGGTGTTCCATACTTGATCAACTTTAAAAAATACCATAGTTGAAATCCCGTAAAGAATCTCATAGTTGAAATCCCGTAAATATAATCGTTCATCTTCAAGCGTACTATTTAGAAAGATGACAGCCTATAGCCATTCTGAAAATAAGAAACAGCAAACTTTATAACCGTGAGGACCGATCATGTATACCCCACCCACCATGCTTCGTGGTGGAATTTCTGCAAGTTTTAAGAAGTTTCTGGAAGTTTTCTTAGATTATACAATTAATTTATTTTCAATTAATATTATTTTCCGAATACCTACGTTCTCTAGAATATTTTAAAGCAGAGCATTTTATTTGACACATCATTAACATTTGTAAAAAATAAATTTGCAAGTCATTTCATTTCGTAGCACAACCTATGAATACAAATTTAGACAATGGGATGTTGGTTTTGTCTTTTTACTCAGGTGTATAATCATCCTGCGTTTGAGCCAGTCGATCTACTTGACTTCGAAAATACATTTGATTTTCAAGAGTCATGTAATGTACACCTATATTTTATTATGGAATAGTTTTCAGCTGACTAATATCCTATAGACCTTGATATTTTTTATATCTTTGATTTGAGTGACTTCAGTATTTTCACTCATATCTCTGAAACGAGATAGACGACATCTGCTGATCGGAATTTTTTTCGATGATAAGCGGTGAGAGCATTTATTCTTCTATATATTCATCACTCTATGCTGGTAGTCGTCGTATAATAGACAATTTACCCCAAACCGTAACGAGTCTAGTCAGAATTTCATGACAATTCCCCCATAAATCCCTTTTTCCTGTTAATATGAATTGAAAACGCTTAGAAATATTTGTTTCCTGGTCCTATGGGTAAGGTAACTGTATATGTGGAAAATAAATAAATAAAAAATGTATGTCCATTTCGTCTGCAATATTATGTCCGGTCAAATATTGTAAGCTTTTTATGTTTTCTTTTTCTGTTTTTGATATATGGAACCTAACACAATTTTTAGAAGACGATATATTAGGCATTTAAATATTCTACAAAACATTTGCTCGGAAGATTTTTGGTAGCGACCTGGAATAGCCTTGATTTTGTATTACGAACTCACTGACGTAGGAAAATTCCCGACAATATCGTATCAATATTATTCAACAGTCTCTGCTATCAAAAGATAAGTAATGATGTAAAAACACTTTACAACAATCAATTTCAATTTTGAAAAATTTGGTAATGACAATTGATTCTTAAAGGGGCAATCGATTTAGAATAAATTAAAACGCATTCTCTTATATAAATTTCTTTAGCATGATATTTGTATTTTTTTTTATTGTAGAAAACAGTCTTTTTTTTAATTTGTCTGTATAAATCAAAACACATAGGTAGTGTGTAGTCAGAAACACATACACATTGAATGAAAACAATTTAACCACAAAAAATTGTTATGTAAAAAAAAGAAACGATAATATTAGGAAGACTTGGGTCAGACTAGATTTTTTTTGTGTTTGTGTGTGTATATAAAGCAGCATACTAATACTTTAGGCACTTTGGTTTGGTAGATTGGATCAGGATGATATGCAGTGCATCAGGAGGAAAAACGTTTGGTCGTTAAATCCAATGGCTTGTCCGTGGTTGTCAAATCCAATGTCAACTCTGGTCCCCGCGTTAGAGTAGGATGAAACTGTGCATGATAATGTGATGATTTTGAATCGGGTTCATCATGCAGCCAATAGCTTTCCGTATCTGTGCTGGCTGAATTTGTTTTGTAACAATCTAAGGTGGCTCTGATGTGGCACATTTCTTCCATGGCCATACAAAATGGATCTGGCCCAGCCGGAATGGCTGTTGGAGCTGCGGTCATAATTAAATGATACGATGGTGGGTAATGGTTGTCATTGTGTTCCAAAGGAGAGAATCGAGATTCATCTAAACTACTTCTTTGTTGTTGTGAATGATGGTATTGTTGTTGTTGCTGTAGATATGATGGTGGGGGTGTTGTTGTTGTTGCTGTTGTCTTAGAATCCATTATTTGTATTGAGTGTTTAAATGTCTTCACATGCTTTCTCAGCGAGGATGGATCAGTATAACGTTTTTGACAACCGGGCACCTTACACATGTACGGTTTTTCCATTGAATGAGTGCGTGTATGCTTGAAGCGATCCGACGAATTCGAGTAGGCCTTATTACATCCTTCATATGTGCAAATGTATGGCTTTTCTCCCGAATGAGAGCGTATGTGGATCTTAAGATTTTCCGCCCGACTGAAACGTTTATCGCACAGATGACATTGATGTGGTTTCTCCTTTGTGTGGGTTCGGACGTGAACCAACATTTTGTAGCGGGCATTGAAACCCCGTTGAGTGCGATGGCAGCCAGACCAACGGCAATAGTAGAGACCGTCTGTCAGAGAGGCAACCGCGTGTATTTGCGTAACATGTATGGCCAAAAATTCCAAACTTTCAAAGCATCTGGAAAAAAGCAAACAAGAAAAATTATTAGATTTATGTTTAATTTAATTTAATTTTGTTGTTTTTTTTTTTTTTTTTTTGGAAAATATAGATTCCTTCCCAACTTACCTTCCACAATCAATCCAATCGCATACGAAATCATTATTTGAACTTGGTGACGAAGTGCCACTACTTGGTGTGTCATTGTGATTTAGATTATGGCTATCCTCAATGTGATGATCTATGTGGCCATTATACGCTTCAGTTGGCAGGTGATGTGGACTTTGACCATGGCCAATTTTCATAATGACCGATTGTGTACGCTGAGGTGTTGGATTAAATACTTCTTGGTCGTGCACGTTCGATTTTTGATGTTCAGCTTCTGGTTGTTCTTCTCCTCGTTGAGATTGTTCTCCAGTTGGGTGCAAATTCCTGGGAGGTGTTATAGGTGGTGTGGGAAATCTCAACTGTTGTTGCATTTGTAGAACATCTTCACTCATACTAGTTGGATAATGATATGTGTACTCGGGCCATGAACTGCTGCCAGTATTCAGGGAATACGGTGGTGTGTGATAGGACGAATAGAGAGGAGCGGGTATTCCAAATGGATTTTGGCTAGAAATTAATGTTTGTCCTTCCATTATTTGTGGTGAATTGTAAATTTATTAACATTGATTGTTTTGGCTATTAACAAAAGTTTTGCGTTTGTTTTGGCTTATTGGCGAAAGCACCGTTAGTCAGTAGTTTTTTTTATTTTTTGATTAAGAATGTATTTTCTCTAGCAAGTTTTGTGAACGACTGATGTGATTGTGAGTCGTTTCGTATGTAATATTCTATGCGAATTGTGCTGATAAGCTATTCTTATCATTTCTAGGCCTTCTCATTCAGACCATTGCGGCAGACAGGCAAGAGGGCGGGCTCGCTGTTGGGGGGGTTATGGGTTTGTTTTTAGTTCTTTTTCCATAAAAAGTGTGTTCTGTCTGTGATTGCGTAGACTGGTTAAATTCTCGTCATTGGCAAACACTCGCACAAGCACACAGACGCACACGTGCAGGTTGAATATTTATGAGATACACTATTATGTTGTCGATGCAAGAAAAACTTTTGTGTGTGTGTGTGTGTGGGGGAATAACTTTGACATGTTGGGAAGTTTATGATTAAGTCAATCAATCCTGAAGAAATTTATTATATTTTTACTTAAAGAAAGTTATTGGAAAGAAATCTACAATATTGTTTTATTCTCAACTCAACTGGATTCTAAGTCAGTTATTATGACTGGAAATCAATAAAATTAAAAAAAAAAATGAAAGATTAAAGGTAGGAATACATAAAGCGCTTGTCTGGCTGGCTTAAGTCATCGGCTGGCTTCTTCGGAAACCTAGGGCCAAAATCGAACTAAGCCAACCTAATACTCCTTTGTTTATCTACGAAGAAGCCAGCTAAATATGCGCTTTATGTATTTCCACCCTAAGGTTTGGTCCCGTCCTGTCTTTTCTATCCCCTTCCTTTTCAAACAATCGATTTTATTCATATCTTATCATGCTATTCATGCGTTTTCGTTCTTTTTCGAAATTATTTAATTGTGCGGCTGTGCCATGTCTGCAATTTGCCCTTTCATTTATTATTCAAAATATTTCAATGCCATGCTTTTTAAGTAAATATTAAATAAAAAGCTTTTTCCAAAAATGAGCTTTGGCAGTCCAGAGGGATTTTTTGAAATAGGTTACCAAACACAAGGTGGCTTAAATCCTTTTTGGTGAAACTGAGAATAATTGTAGTCAGTTTCTTCTACAATCGGCAAAATTCCAGCCAAGCTTAAAAATCTTAACAATTGATTATCAATGAATTTTTACAAATACCGCACCTATAATGTTTTGGATATGGGTGTCATGCTGTCTCTACTTTTGTTTTAATTCAACCTCGGGCACCATTAAAAAGAGGGGCTACGGAAGTGTTTATTTAAGAATATATTAATTAATGCATGATTGTTTTCAAGTTTATAAGAGCACTACCTGGATACACTCAGTAATTCTTTAAACTTTAAAAAGTTCCCTAATTTTTGCAAAACCAAAAGCTTTCCCCAAAACAGAAAAATGCAAACTCATCATTTGTGGAAACGCATTTGAAACACCCCCTTAGCACAACATTTCTCAGTCATACAAATGAGTCAGTATCAAATGGGAAGATACTCCGATTCGGGCAAAGAAAACATCGCTTCAACAACCTTCGCTACGTGCAATATCAAACGATTCAATTTCGTGTGTTTGCTATTTTTACACCACAAAACGTAAATATGGAACATGCTGTTTGTAGCCATGGTTGTGCGTGTGTGGTGGTTGTTGTTGTTGTTGTTTTTCCAGTTCCTTGCCGAAACCCTCTTATCTTTTCTTATCGTTCTTTTGGCCCAATTGAAATCACGGGAATTCACGAACACCACACATCCACAACACGACCGTTTGTGCGATCAACAAGCTTTGGGGGGCATTTTGATAACAGCACCTACGTGTACGGTCGATTATTTGTGTCTGCTGTACTTCGTACCCCTGTGGCATTTTCTGTTGGTCGCTTGTTAGTAATAGCCCCGATACAATTAACAGGGTATGATGATGATTTTGATACAATTGTTTATATTTAGAATTATGATGTATTCTGCAAAGCATGAGGGGGTTTAAACAATGATGCGCGGTCCATCCATCTATTATGTGGGTGACGACTACACCATGACTCGACGACTTAGGCAGGGGGTTCCGGACCCCTCCGGATTGATTATATTTGTGGAATTTAGCTTGAAAGTTTAATTTGTGTTCAGTTGTCCCTCCCCGAAATGGTTACATTTTTTGGCATGAACACTAAAATTTTCATATACATATGTATTTCAATGCCATGCCATCTGCCCATAGCTATACCTTGCTTATACTGTAATGGGCAATAATAACAAAGCAAAGCAAAAAAAACCATTTGGTTAGGCCATAGGAATTTTTTTTTACCAAATCATATTTGTTGCTAATTGTCTGGCATTTAACCATTGATAATATGCTGGAAGTTGCTGCTTGTGCTAGATGATGGAAAAATACACAGTGCCATTTTTAGATTAGGACAAACAAAAACAAATTATACGGGCGGGCGACGCATATCGGCAAATGAAATCTTAGGGGTTGGTACAAAATGCGTAAGAATTGACTGTTTGCTTACCGTCTGAGGTCTGCTAGTTATCTTCAGTATGGGCATATTTTGGTCAAAATTTCCTTCTTTTAGATAAGAGATTCTTTGAATTTTATTGAGTACAAGCAAACCAGTAAAATCATTGGTAGCTATGACATGGCATTTTTTCGAAGTTCCAAATTCCACAAATTCTTGTAAAACGATATTTGCAGTTTAAGATTGAAAAAGGGATGGCTCTGGGATATGTTAGCAATTCAAGTATTTGAAAATCAATTACAATAACAACAAGTAAAATAGCTGTAAGTTCCAGTGAATAATGTCGCTAAAATTATCCAAATACCGAATATCGGGAGGCACCGTTATATGGGGGCTATACGAAGACGTGGACCTGCTTAGACAATTTTCTGTCATAGGCCGTAGTGCCCATTCTTCAAATACAAATTTGAAACATTAATGTCGCTTAAATCACAAATGTACCGAAAAAGGGAGGTACCAAAACGTGGACCTACATGACCGATTTTCAATACCAAAAGGCCTGCAAACATAATACACATTTGAGTAAAATTTTATCAACCTACTTCATTTCGTTTGGAAGCTAGTGTGATTTCCACAGACGGACATTGCTTAAACGACATAGAATTTTATGCTGATCAAGAATATATAGCATTTTCAGATTAAATGAAACCTTTTGCAATTCAAATGAAACTTTTTGCAGCGGGAATGAAACCTTTTGCAGTGGAATTGAAACCTTTTGCAGTGGAAATGAAACCTTTTGCAGTGGAAATGAAACCTTTTGCAGCGGAAATGAAACCATTTGCAACCGAAATGAAACTTTTTGCAAATCAAATGAAACTTTTAAATTTATGGAAGAAAAAATAACAAAATATTTTTATTTTTAGTAGGTTTAAAATTAAATCAACTAATTATAACTAATATATTGACAAAGAGGATTTTTTATTGATTATAAACATCTACATTTATTTATATTATTTCTTAAATTTTCAATTATTGTAATAACAAATGGTTCTTTATTGATTTGATATGAAATGCTTCCATATTATTAAATTCCAAATGCTTAACGCTAAAACGAGAAATTTAAACAAATTTTGACCTTTATAGGTATGGCCAGGACTGAAATGTGAAATTAAGCTTTACCACAATTTTTTTATAGTTATAGTATACTATTAATCTTACCTAATAAAGGATTCTCGCTTCGCAGCTTTATTGATTATGGAGATAGAGCAGTCGTGATTTCAATAGGCAGATAAGTGGAAATCATTAAATCAACTATGATCATGATTGTATATAATTTATGGGGTCTACGACGAATATCTAGAGGTGTTACAAACCGAATGACAAATTTAATATATCCTCCTTTCCATGAAGGAGATTATAAAAAGGTACCCAATTCGGGTCCTTTGAAAAAAATACCTTGAAAAACTTTTTTCAATCTTTCTGCATCTACACTTGTGTTTTATGGAAGCTTTAAGAAAAACATTTTATAAAAACATAGTTATTAATAATCAATAAAAATTCCTCTTTAGCTATATATTAGTTATAATTAGTTGATTTAATTTTAAACCTACTAAAAATTAAAATGTTTTGTTATTTTTCCTTCTAAAAATTTTAAAAGTTTCATTTGATTTGCAAAAAGTTTCATTTCGGTTGCAAAAGGTTTCATTTCGGTTGCAAAAGGTTTCATTCCCGCTGCAAAAGGTTTCATTTCCACTGCAAAAGGTTTCATTTCCACTGCAAAAGGTTTCCATTCCACTGCAAAAGGTTTCATTCCCGCTGCAAAAAGTTTCATTTGAATTGCAAAAGGTTTCATTTAATATGAAAATGCTATATACCTTGTGGGGTCTAAAATGTATATTTCTATAAAATTCATAAAATTATTCAAAAGAGGTGTGTACTGCCATAAAACGAATTGCACTAATTACATGTTTACGTCAGAGCTTTTTTTGGGTTAACCTCCTTTATAAAGATTTATTTGATATGTATCCACTGGGTTTACTAAATCCGGTAAACGGTTAACGAACTATAAATTCGATTTAAAGCAAATAAAATTTCACAACGTACGTGATTCGTACTTAGCCTTCGCAATTAAAAGTGCAAATCTAGTGCACTTATTTTCTCCCTCCTCACATTCCCCGCTGCCTCCTCTTACATCAATTTCCTATTATCTATCCAAAAAAAGTCAATTGTTTACAGGTTCCCTAATCTTTGTTCCAAGCAAATAAACCAGTTTCGACTGGCGCTGGAATCTTAGGTGACCTCCAACCTGTCTTTCTTTCTTTTCTTTTTCAATGATTATTATTTTCACAACATTCCGGAGAAATGGGAAAGAGAATGAATCTGTCTGTCAGCAAAATTAAATTTATTTATTTATATAAATGTTTTGGCGCTCACCAAATAGCAAAACAACAAATTATTAGGAATAAATTTTCCAGTTTCAAAACACAGCTTTGAAACACTCAACTGATAAGAGAAATGTGGATGTGCCAGTTCATTCCATCCTTTTGACTTTTCACCACAGCTCCAAGTGAGACACGATGATTGTTTAAAATGGAAACAATAATATTGAACCAAGCTGAACTGAACTGAATAATCGCAAAATCAAAGTGAAACGACAAAACCGGTACAAAGCAGATATTGGAAATTGAACACTCTTCACCATAAATAAAAAAAATCGAAATGAATACACTCATATTCCTGTAGATTTTTAATTGCCTCGCGTACTGATAAGGCCAGAAGGCAAGTGCTACCACCATGTGTGTGCTTTGGTTTCCTTGGACGTTTCACAATCTTGCAACAATTGATTAATTAATACCGGGTGATATATCGCCCAAGATGTCTACAGTATTGCATTTCAAAAAGAGAAATGCATCTGTTGTCTGATAATGGCGAACAGCCGCCATCATCGTCGGAGACTGATAAAACGCATCGCTTGTTGTGTCCAATACATCAATGAAATGCAAATAAAAAAACTGGCCTGGAGGCCAGACATGCTACTATGTGTACAGTTCGTGCGAACGCTTAGCTGCAGCCAGATTCAGCTGTGGGTGTTATCTGTATGGACAATCCAATATTCTCATAATATTAACAATGAGACTTTGTACTTGGTTTTTTCTGTTTCAATTATTATTATTATTATTGTGATTTTATATGTTTCAGATTCACGCACATACCATTTCACCCGACTGTTGGTGCTGCTGCAGCAGACATTTCTGGTGTTCCATTTGAAAACAACTTTCCGAAGTCTTCTATGGCAGCAGACGTCCAAAGTTCAATTTTCGTATAATGTTTGTAAACAAATAGTTTAGGAAATATACCTCGACCCACATTGATACAAGCATAACTACACAGATATATACATACAAACATTTATACCTATGTGTCTGTTTGTATGTATCTGTATATCGATAGTAAGTGCCTATAAACCTGGGGAGTTGTTAAAGGTCAAGTTGCTGGCTAGGGGGGTGCGCGTGTGTGCTTTGTTAGTGTTTGTCCAAAATATAATAATTCATAAATAAGAGATTATTTTTGTTTATTAATTCACTTTGACAGTATCTCGTCTAGACATACAGAATGTTGTTAGATGTGTTTTTTTTTTTTTTTTTTGGAATTGGGTTCACCCAATGATAAAAATCGAGGTTCTAATAAAGGCAAAACAAGAATGAAGTTATTATCACATCATAAAAATGAGAAAGTGTCTAACACGTGTTCAGAAATAGGCAGGTATTTTTGGAATTATGATCAGGGCGGGAGATAAACGAAACAAAAAAACACACGCACACACACATCTCATAATTATTCGCCATGTAGAGCGGAAGTTAGAGTTGTTATTGCGATATTATGAACTATTATAAGCGCGTCCCTATTTGTTTGCCTGTGTTTGACGAAAATTAATTATTAAGTCTGATTGATAACTCTCAGTAAAAAATTGAAAACTTTTGTTGAGTTTCTGTAGTTTTTAAAGTTTAGACCATGGTAAAATTATGAAGGTGAAGTCATTTCAAATAAGCATTACCATCTCTGCATTTTTTGTTATTTACCTTCTAAAATTTTACTGCATAGAAAACAGATTCGCATTTCTGATTTGTATATCTACAAGTAATTCATAATTATACATTTTGACAATGAGATGTTGTCAAATGAATAATTTGAAAAAAAAATGTAAACATATTATGGCCATGGGTGAAACGAAATGTAACATTTGCTCTGAGATAACTGGAGAAGACTAGTAAAAGTGTCAAAATTAGATGACAATCTCTTAAAATCAACATTTACGCCGATCAAAAGCTGACAACCACGCTTCTATTTCGTACTCGGACAAATTCTCTTAGTAAAAGTATTAAAAGAGAACACCATATTTGTGAGTGCTCTCTTCATTTGGACACAAGTTTTAATAGATTTTCATGTACGAGAATATTTTTCAAGCCAAATTAAATTTAAAAATAATACTGGACTGTGGGCTATAGAACAACATTTTGTAATGATTTATACAAATTATAGGATTACTCTACACTCCTAATATAGAAATACCTATATCTATAAGTCGAATATTCTACATAGTTCTTTACCACAGTTTCCGGGACATGTGTGCTAAGTTTTGTACAAAATTAACAATAAATTATCTAATTCATATCCATACTAATTGCATATATAGCTAGAATATACTCATTAAGAAATCTTTTCATATTATACTATATCGAGCGCATAAGGTTTTAGCTACCCGGCGCCTCCCTTCAATATTTTATAAATTTACTATATAAAATATTTTGTAAATAATTATCAATAAATATTTGATTTAATTATCTCACTCTCCTCGTAGAAAGATTCAAAAATATACATAAATAATAATAATAATCCGAAACATGTCATTTATGACCCTCAATGAAGGATATAAAACTTTGTTTTATTGGCATTGGAGAAGCTTACAAGTCTCCGATGAGGAAACTAATATTACAGGAGAATATGGTATACAAATGTAGGCTCAATTTTTCAAAATGTTTGGTCTGTTCCAGAAATGCAAGAATGTAAAAGTTTTTACTACAATAACAGATTTTTCCTTTATGATATCGAAAAAAATTGCAAAACTAGTATATTCTTGCAGGTTCTGAAACAGAGCAGTTATTTATTACGCTCTGTGAACCTAAAAAAATATACATAAGTTAAGTTTTTTTTTTTAAATTTCTTTTTTTTCTATTTTTTTTTTCTAAATTAATCAAAGTTCAAGAGCTGTATAGACATGTACGTGTGCCCATTTTCACATTAACTAAACCATGGAACTTCTCCCCAGACGGTCAACAGTCCTCTGTGATAATCATGTTTTCAAAAAAAATGTTATCTTTATTTTACGAAAGGCTAGACATCAAATGACGTCAAGCTAAGATATCAAATAATTTTGGATCGTTTATATTTTCTAATCGTTATTGATTTATACATATGTTCGTTAATTTTTTCGCCACAAACCACAACGCACACATAAAAAACTGCACTATAAATTTAAAAAAAAAATATTAATTTTCGACATACCGCCAAAATTTCTTGTAATTCTTCCTTTTTTAATTTTTACGTAAACGAAAGTATTTTTTTCGCGACCGATTTATTTGTTGCTATGCAGCACACGGCACATTTTACTAAATGATCCTGTCGTCACTGATCACAATCATAAATGTGCACAATTGAGTGGCACTCTTCGGCTGGAAGTAAAGGTCCGTGGGGTCCACCTTTATGATCGGCCTAATCTAAATGCTCGCTGACAAAAATAATCTCATTTGGGCGCAGGGAGGCGGGCAGGCGCTACTGCAACATAAATACAAAATACATAGGTGCACACAACACACGCACACACCCAATCATACGCTCGTCTCTTCAAAAATGTATGGGCCTTTTTGTACGATTTCATCACTGATGCTGGATAGTTTGACCCTCCACGGTGTTGTGCACAAGACATGACGTACAACAACAACAGCAACAAATACATTTTGAATGAGCGTTTTTATTTAGCTAGAACATCACACATTTTGTGTTAATGTTGTTGTTGGCTAATGTGTCGTCAATACAGAAGAGATGAAGTTATGAATTTTGTTGGACTTGATTGAGCAAATGTCTCCCGCTACATCGTCGATGGCCTCTTGTGGATACTCAGCTCGTTAAGACGATGAAGAAACAAACAAATTAAAAATTGTTTTGTATAGCATATCAACAGCATAATTTCAACTTACCCTGCACCTTTTTAAAACGGAAACGGATATGAACGAGATATGCATAATAAAATATATTGTAATAACAATTATAATACTCTTTAGTAAGGCTCCTTAAAAAAATAGTTGTCAGGCTAATTAGGGTAATATGAAAGTAGAACATGCCTAATTATGGTAAGCAGATTGTTCTTTTGAGCTCAACGCAATTATTAAACAAAAAACTTTGGCTTAAGAGAGAGAGAGAGATAGAGAAAGGTTGATATTTATTTCACAGAAAGTTTGCAAATTCTTGCTGGATAATTTTCTTCTCGTTGCGGTGATTTATATTAAGGCAAGAGATTTAAAACTTTTTGGCTATTTTTAATTTTTGTGTTTTTAATTTCTGTCAAAAATAATCAATTATACCGCCATAAAGTATAATTTCTTGCAAAAGAGAATAAAACTGCCTTAGACTCGCAGAAAGCAACAGCCTGACAATTACTGTAGGAAAAGAAATCAGGCACAATTTCGAACAATTTTATGGAAATCATCAAAATATCCAATATTGGGAGGTTTCGTCACACGAACTTCAAATAACAAGTTTGAAGCAATTCCATTGAACAATGTTGCCTAAATATAATATAACGAGCATCGGAAGGTATAAACAATTTTCTATCCGAGAAAGTGATACCTATTATGATCTTCTAATAAAAACTTAGACAAAAATTCTGAAAAATTTGGTTAAAATATTTAAAATATCGGGAGGGACCTATGCTACGAGAGTGGACAATGTCATTACCCAATTGAAGGACTAGATTTTAAACAATTTCCTTGGAAATGTGAGTAAAGATATCAAAGTATCGAATATTGGGACGAGCCATCATATAATAGGGGAGGAGGAGCCATCATATAATTTATATTTGAATGGGCAGTTTTTTTTTTTTTGTAGGAAATGGGAGGTACGAACTATTACATACCAATTAAAAAAATCCCGTTAAAAATGAGCCCGAAATCATTCAAACACTGGTGAGATAAAAAAAACTGCAACAAAGTCGTGTGGCATTTATTCTGATGCCAAGGTCGATTAATATGAGACCATCGGCTGTTATGGCGGTCCACACCATCAACATGGCCAGCGCTTAAGTTCTAGTGGCTATCCGAAGGTGCACATTTTCAGGTGACCTCTTTGGCAAGTAAACACAGCACGATCATTTTGTTTGATTACAAATTGCTGGACAACCATTTTTCACCACTGCGACGCGGGATTCGATCAAGACGCTTCTTTACTTTTCAAACCATTTCTCCTGATGTTGGTGTTCTCCTCCGTCAACTTCCTTGACGTCGGGCTTCGCTACCAGAATCACGGTAACGAGGTTCGAGTACGAGACACAAAGATTTATTCACATTTAAATGCTGTAGTGCTCTGACGATAGCCACTTGTGGTATTCCAGCCATATGCAAAGAAATCACACTATCACGCTTGAATTCCATCACGAATTACTTTTTATCCGGAAAATTCTCACCAAAATGCTTCTGTACGCTTGTAAACAATATAATGAGCTGTCACTGGAATAAGCTTAACAGCTGTCGGACGAATGGCTTAGAAATGACTGCAGTCTGAAGTTGGTTACAGTTTTTTCATCTCACCCTGTATACTACGCATTTGTCATATATGGACATTTTATATCCACTGAGAGTACAAACTAAGCGCCATATATATAATATTTGACGTACAAGGGTTTAACTTTAGTGAGGCAAATTAATTTAAGATATTTTCGGATCATTTTGAAAATTTTATTGCTCTGTTTTTTATGCCTTATTTGAGATCAACATACCACTTTAGTAAAAACTCTCATTTTTTGTTCAAGAACCGGATTTTCTTTACTGATATAGACGATTTAAGTATCATTTGAATATCCATCTAACACATTGTCACATGATGAGGTTATCTATATCGCAAAATAATTTACTTTGTGGATTTAGAAAAAAACCCTAAAGGAAAAGAATCCATTTTCTTTTGAAGTGAAATTTGCAGTTTAAAGTACATGGCTAAATCTATATAGAGTTTTATGCTGATTAAAAATCTAATTTAGTGGTTTCTAAAATGCTTATTTCCAGACCAAATGACAATTTAAAAGAAAATCCACTTATTGCTAATATTTTGGCTCGATTATGTGCTATCCTTATACTAACGTCGTTGCCCTTGTTTTTCGCATGTTTCAAGACAAAATTATCAATTAGTTTTGTATTACATTGTTTAATAATTAAATCCTACTTGGGAATATTATATGTTAATAATGGTATTTATTGAACATGGAGGCTTCAGCATTAAGGAATGAAATCACTAAAAAAATTCCCCCGAAATACCCCCAATGTACCTGTCGGTAGATTTTAAACCATAAAATTTGTAGCCCTGTCGTTTTCATATGTAAATATTATATATTTAAAGTGTTTTAATGTACAATAGACAAATATTCTTAAACAAACAAATCCTTATTATTACGCATATATTCATTTAGCTGTTTCTCAAGTAGTGGTGCCGTCATTCGATCAACTTGAGCATTGAAACTAACAAAAAACTGTCGTCCATAGCGACGTGTAAACTGTTCTGCCAGTCTTTGTGAATCTGTTATGCTGCTTTGTGCCCCTAATATCGTCGTTCCAATTATTTGACCATCCTGCGGCATTTGCATTGCTACTGCCATCTCGTCCAAACACTCTGGCTCGGCGGAGCCAAGAAACATCATTGTCGCGCCGTTCATTTTTAGTGAACGCACCGTGTACTTTTTATCACCCACCAGGAGTTGTCCTTGGCTGGAGGTAAATGCTTTGTTTGCATCCCCACAATGATCTGTGCTGTTTTCCTCTGTCATGACGATGATGCAGTGTGTGTGTGTGCGTCTATCTTTCCGATTGTGGTCTTTATTTGGTTAGTCGAAATGGCATTTGCAAGTCACCATCGACCGGTAAAAATGATGCTGCTTAGGTTAACTTAGGACGGTACTTTGTTTATAGATGTGTCCGCAGCTATTTCCTTTGCTGGGGATGATGTTTTATTTTACATTACCCTTTTCGTTACGAAAATGCAACAGAATAAATACAATTAATTAAATGTCGGAAGTCTTAGAAAATGATATTTTTGCAATTGTTCATTGTGTACAATTTCACCAGCTGTTGTTGTTTTCATGCAAATAATACAACACTGTACATTGATAACAGGGTGTCTCGTATGAAGGAAATTAGTTAAAAGTGTCATTCAAAGCGAAGCTATCTCTTAAAATCTATGCCATGTTTCCACGAGCAGAAAATATCTCAAATAATTAATTTTGTGTGCCCCTGTTGAGAGTCACGGATTAATATTTTGATAGTTGCTCCCGGAAAATCAAAATTCAGTCAAATTTTCATAAAAGGATGAATTTATACAAAACGAGTCGTAATTGTTTTTTTTAATTACCTGTATAAGTTTTCATCAGGTTAGTACTCCGCAGAGAAATAATTCTGATTTTCTACATGAAATCGGGGTATATCATTTTATGGGGGCTATAATAAAACGTTTACCGACATGAACTATATTATGTACAGATGATTTTACAAGGAACCTATAAGTTATGTTTATACCCTCCACCTTGGAAACGAGGGTATATATACTTTGTTATTCCGTTTGTAACTCCTCAAAATACTTATGTATATATCATCTTGATCAGCGTAAAATTCTAAGTCGATTTAGCGATGCGTGTCTGTCTGTTGTTATCACTCTATCTTTCGAACGAATCGATATAGACGGCTAAGATTTTTCAGACGTGTTTATTTTGCCAGTAGGCAGCTTAAGTTCGTAAAGGGGTCATGTAGGCCCCCATATAACGGTACCTCCCTATATTCGGTATTTTGATGATTTTAGCGACATTTTTCACCGGAATGGTTTCAAACTTGGTATTTCAAGTTCGTAATGGATACTACAGCCTATGACAGAAAATTGTCTGTGCAGGTCCAGGTCTTCGTATAGCCTCCCGATATTCGCTAGTTTTATGATTTTAGCGACATTATTCACTGGAATTGTTTCAAATTTGGTATTTGAAGTTCGTAATGCCTATGACAGAAAATTTTCTATGCAGGTCCAGGTCTTCGTACAGGCCCGATATATATCAGTACCTCCCATATTCGGTATTTTGACGATTTTAGGTACAATACTCACCGAAATTGTTTGAGATGTCGTATTTTTTTTTTTAATTTTTACGATATTTTAAATTGGCTACATATATTTTAAGGACCCAAAAATAATGTTTGGTCTGGGAACCAAAACCCTTTTGAATTTTTCATCTACTAACCGAATAGTATATCACCTCCACTTGGAATTTCCCACTCCCGATTGGCTGTTGCAGAAAATGAATAGCAATGTGTTTTGCGATTAGCTGTTATTTTCGCTTTATTTTTACTTTTTATATTTGTTTGTTTTTATTATTTTTGTTTTAATATTTAATGGAATTACAATATTTGTTTTTACTATTTTTTTTTAATTTGTTATTGGTTTTCAATTGAATCCACATTTGTTCTTTTAATATAAATTTCGAGGATTGAATTTTTTTTCTCACAATTAATATATTTTTTGCTAGATTTTGTCAATTGGTTTTTAAGTTACGGTAATAAAAATAAAAAAAGACGTTATAGATTAAAATTAAAAGAAGGGTTGGGGGCGGGGTCTATAGTGTCGACTACTATTTGGGGGGCGATTTGGAGCGAGAGAGAATATGGTGAGGGGGTTGGCTTGCTGGGGACATTTGAATAATCATTGTAATTTTACTAACATAATTTTACTTTGTGAAGAGGAACAGCATAACTGTTGTAAACCGAAGCCTTGTATTGCGATTTGCATTTGGAGAAGAAGAAAAAGGACTTGATTAGAGGGTGGTAGAGTTTAAAAATAATTGGCTTTAAAATCTAAGAATCTTTTTCTCAATAATTTCTCTCATGTAGTTTGCGTTCAACTTGGTTGGCTCTTATTTAGTCTTCATCATCCTCAGATTCGGCCTCCTGCAACCAAGTCAACCAGTTATTAACCTGGAATAAAGCTGCACCCTTTCCAGGATACTTGTCAGATATTTCTTCTTTCCACTTAATAAAGGTTTCTTCGTCAATGACTTCGGCATCATAGAGATATATGAACCAACGGCACAACATACCTAAAATATACCGGAAATAAATGTTATTAAATGTTTACCTCTAAAACTTTTCGACCACCTTACCTTTGGGGAAGTTCTCATTTACACAGAATACTTGCAGAGCATAGATGGCCAATAGCTGCAACTCAGTGCTGTGACCCAAGAACGACTTAAGGATTTGGCAGTAGTTTTCAAACAGACTTTCTTCTTTTTGAATGGTTGCCTTGTCGGGACAAACTTTGACGTCTGTTCCTTCAGGGAAACTGGTTTTTGATGTTACATATTTGACAACAACTGTCATGAGAGCACTGATAAAACCTTCCTCTTGATAGTATTTCGATTCGACATTGCTCTTTATCCACTTGTAGAAAGCTGTGGGATCGGGATTGGAGTTCAGCTGTTTGCTCATTTCGGCCTGAACCTTTAGCAGCGGATAGAGGAAGGTCAATGAGCGATCTTCTAGTATCTCAGCCAAACGTGTCTTGTTGCGATCAACCTCTGGCAAACAGTTCATCAAATCAATTTTACTAGCGCGGAATATTTCTTCCAGGGGATCCTTGCCGATCAGTTTACACAACTGTTGCAGCACCAACAAAAACAATGGGTAATGCTGACCATTGTCGGTGTAATTTGCAATGTCGCTGAGCTTTAAGAGTGCCGACGATTCACCACCAACGGTGCCCTTGGCCAGCAGAATTGCCACAAAGGTAGTTATGCGGGGATTCAAGGCTTCGCGCTCATTCATCTTCTTAACTACTTGTTTAAACACTTCCAAAATGATGTTGTTCTTCAGGTTGGTCTGCTTCTTCAGACTTTGCAGGAATTTCAGAACTCTTTCCAAATAGTGATCGTCAGCCTTCTCCAAGACATCCAGAATGCTGTTGATGCAAACATCCTTCATACATTTTTCTGGAACCTTTAATTCCAAGAAACCCTCAACAACTTCAGCCAATTTCCTGTCTTCCTCTTCGGCGCTCTCTTCCTTTGCATAGAAGAACTTATCCTTGATGTAGCTGGCAGTTTTCTTGAGCACCTCATCTTTGTTGAAAGCCTTATCCTTCTTCTGTTGTTTAGCAGCCGAACCGCCGCTAGCAACAGCATTAGCACCCGATTTCTCCGTTGAACCCTGTTTGGTCACTAGCTGTGAAGTGGGCGTATTCAAGCGAGACTTCCTCTCATCTTCATTCTGATCAATGCCGCCGACTGCTTCTGAATTTCTCTGGCTACCAGATGAGGAGCCAAAGTTAGAAGAGTTCTTGGCAAAGTCTGGATTTGATGAGGTACTTTTCAGTGTCTTCTCATTGCTGATGCCAGTTTTGTATTCGGCCTCAGCCGATGGTGTGGAAGATGGTCTTGAATTTTGTTGGTGCTGCTGTTGTTGTTGGTTGGATGTGAGATGTGTTGTTGGTGTTCCCAAAAGTGGATACTGGGCATTGGATAATTGCATATCCTTGTTGCCAGCACCCAGTCTGCCAAGACCTCCCGACAGCGGAGTGTTACTGCTGTTCGACAAGGGTGGTGTGGACATCGGCAACATCGATGGAAGCTTTTGATTCTGTGAGGCTGCCTTGAAGAGTAGCGAATTGGCAGCTGGTCTCATTTGCAAGTTTTCTACGGAATCTTGATTGGGTGGTATGATATTGCGTTTGAAGCGCGGTGCCAATTCCTTGTTCAGTGGATTTGCGCCAGCATATGGGTATTGGCCTGATTGATCGCGATCTCTGTCACCTCTATCACGATTGTGGGGGCGATCTTCGCGATTGCCACCACCACCGGTTCCGGGACCATTTTGTTGGTTATGCTTATTGTAACGATTGCTGCTGTAGTTGCCACTTCCCTGTGGGTTGCGATCCCGATTGTTGGAATTATACTGTCTGTTGTTGGCCACCGGTGTAGTAAATCTGAAATGAAGGACAATACGGGGCTAAAACACATTGCTAATAGCTATTAATCAATCACAGCTTTGTGTCTCCACTTACGGTGATATAATTGGCGATGCTCCTGTAACACTCAGACCCGAGAACATGTCATTCAAACCTCCCGGTTGTAAATTCAAAGATAAGCGACCCATCCAACTGTCGTTGTCGCGGTCATCACGATTGTTACGCATTTCACGATTGCGGTTAGCGAATGGTGTTCGAATAATGGGCTCATCATCGGTGCGTATTTGCTTGATTGGCACTGGACCCTCAGCGGTGCCCACTTTGCGAGGTACCCAATTGTTTTCCCGCAATTCGATTACGTCTTTCAAGAGGAATCGTATTCTGGGTGGATAATCAGTTGATTTCGATCGTCGTTCCAATTTGTTCATGACCTGGTTCATCAGCTCTTCGCCCTGTTCTGAATCCAGGTTCTTGCCGCACGTCTTGAGCAACTGTGCCAAGCACTCCATGTCCTCACACAGCTCTTCCTTCGTGGCCGTGCGCTTGTTCTTCTTGTCCAAAAGTTCACAGATGCACTGATGCAAGACGTTCTTGGCCAACATGTCCAATTTGTGTAGTTCTCCAATGAACTTGACGTTGCCCAGCATGCGCTGTTTGGCCAAATGGCGGCGCTCCTCTTCATCAGCTTCATTATCGGCCACTGCTTGGGGACGATGTACCTTATTGAATTGGGAATCTCCTCCTTCGTCGTCACGCTTCTGACGATTGTTGAATTTGTCGCGGCAAACGGCAATGAGTAAACGTAAGAATGTGCTTAAACCACCTGGTTCCTTCTCAAATGATGGGGCTTCTTGTGATAGACGCTTGCACAGCTGTGCATACATAGACGAGTACTTGGGCTCATCCAAAGCCTTATCGAAAATCAACAGAATAACACCGTTCAAAATTGCAATTGAATTTAAGTCGAGTTTTAATAGTTCGTCGCTAAGTTCTTGGAATTTTTCTGGAGTCAATTTGTTAAGAATACCACGGACCTGCAATCGAAATTGGATGTATTGGGATTAGGAATTACAACATCAGTTTTGATCGGCAGTTGTGCCCGTCTACTTACCCTTCTGAAAACAGCATCATTCTTTTCGGCTTGAGTAAGTCCATGTTGAGGACGCAGTGATGGCGGCACCCAACGACCAGCTGACGGTGGAGGAGTTGCAGCCGGTGTGGGTTGTTGACTTGATACACCAGCTGTTAAAGCGGATGTACCGACACCAGAATTTGGCGATATGCCGCGCGAAGATGATGAAGAATTTACGTTCGATGAATGTCCGGATGAGAGGTCTTGTCTTCCGCCCAATGCATCACGATCTCCGCGATCTCTATCTCCGCCTCGCACGGGCGGTGAGCGATTGTTCAGTGAACGATCTCGCTCACGATGGTTGTATGAAGAGCTGCCGCCCCTCTCACCTCTCTCAATGCCCGACGAGCGCAAAGCAGAAGGTGGCAAACGACGCTCTAGGCTATTTGTATTGCTTCCAGATGAACCGTTGGCTGTTATATTGCGTTCGCCGCCAGATGTTCCGTTGGTGTAGCGTCCACCGCCACTTACTCTACCACCCCCTCCCCCAACACCTCTGGGAGAATCGTCGTAGTCACGATAATTGTTGCTGCTGCTGCTACTACCGTTTATGCCGCCGTAATCGTCACGATCGCGATCTCTCTCTCGGTCGCCTCGCTCTCGTTGATGGGATGAACGATAACTGTTTACATTGCCATCATTGGCGGATGATCGTGGTCCGTATGATTTGTTATTGTTGTAGTTGTTATGATAGTTGTTGTTGTAGCCAGCGTTAGTTGAAGAACCGTACTGACGCTGTTGTCCGTTTCCATTGCCGTTTTCGTAGCGTTGAGAGCGGTATCCGCTGCCCGAGCCTCCCGAATTCAAATTACGCGAATAACCGCCGCCATCGGAGTTGTGTGGTTGATAATTGCGTCGTCCGCTATTGCCCTCCGAATGGGAATTGTGGTATGCACCGCTGCTATTGTTGTTAGCGTTCAATGAACCACCGCCACGTCCGCCAGGGCCGCCACTGCTGTTGCTGCCACTGTACGGATTGCCTCCAGAATTGGAGTTGTTAGTGCTGCCTAAACCTCCAGCTTGTGAGCCTCCCAAAATGTCACTATTTTTGTTATAGTAACGCGACGACGACGAATCGTTCTGGAAAGATCGCCGAGGCCGTGGGCTTACTTCTGAATCGTGTTGACGAATTTTGGCGGAATTCTTACTATAACCAGAGGAAAAGTGTCCCGAAGCGCCTGGTGCTCCAGATCTGTTGCTGCTGCCGCCGCCGTTCAAACTATTGCGAACGCTGTCGCCTGAGTTGGGCGAACGCTTGTAAACGCCGCTGCCTCCACCGACTTCTTTGGAGCGATTACCGCCGCTGCCGCCTTGATGGTTGCCGCTTGCGTTACCGTTGCTGGTTGGCGACGAGCCCTTGTCTATCTTCAACAAGTTCTTCAAATTATTGAACGTATCCGATGCTGTGGTTATCGGCAAAAGATTTGCGCTGGTGTTCAGCAAGGTTTTACCGACAGTAGGTGTCGGCGGGGATTGGCCACCGCCTCCTCCTCCTCGATTATTGAAGCTCTCGTTAAAACACTCAGTATCGTCTTGATTAGCCGTTATTGCTAGCTTTAAATTGCTGCCTCCGATGCTTGGGTCACCGGTACTGCTGCCTCCCTCAATGGTGCTTGTTTTATATATGCGGTCCTGCAACGCGAAATTACTGTCAGTGTTTTGCACTAGCACAATGTTGGCACCAGAGTCCCAACACTGTCGTTTATCGTCGTAAGACTGAGAGAAATGACTATTTAGCGTTGGATGAGGAATGGTGAAAATTTTTTAATAAACACTGGACCAACAAAATGTTTTTCCTCTTTGGGTTAGTTCGGTTTGACTCCAGCAACCCTTACAAGTGTTGCTCGGAGTGAAATCACTGTTTGTTGTTGGCTTTTGGCAAGTCCTTGAAGCGCAGCACACTGCGTCTTTGTCGTAGTTCTAAACAGAAACACAATAACACTTAGAAAAAAGGACTGGTTTTCTTTTAAAAATACACAAGAAAATTAGTCAGAACTGTTTGGTAAATCTTAACACTTTCTCCGTGGACTCGACTATTACGAAAAATAAAATCGGAATTTCAGCAAATATAATCTATGAAGGTATGTGTGTAGTACGTATGGGGATTGTTGATTGGTTCTCGGATATTTCGTAGATTTACAAATAAACTAATTTATTTCAATAATGGATTAAGAGGAATTTTCGACAATCTTTGTTATTATTTTAATATTTATCTAAATAGATGTCTTGAAGTCCTGCAAAGAGAGAGGGGAAGAAAATTGGAAACATAAATCGATTAGTAAAATTCGTGATTAAATGTGATGAGTCATAAATGCAAAATAAAAAGAAAGATATCGACGAAAAATTCACCTATAATTCCCCAGAACTTATAATTGAATGAAGACCAAACTAAAACCTGTCGACAGACCGACTGCACACTGAATTTTTATTTCCTGCTAATTTCCGATGTCATTTCATTGTCTGACGGACGAAAGTGTGCCTGTGTGTGGGCTTTGTTGTGTATTCCATAAACAATTACTTCAAGATCAACAACCACCAACAATAATTTAATTTTTTTTTTTTTTTGTGTTTCATTCTACATACTGTTTTTGTTTTCTACACACACTCTCACTGCCTCCTATCTCTCGCTCATGCTGTGGTGCCTCTATAAAATACTAACCCGATAGGCAAGCTCTAGCTGGCAGCATTGATGTCGTTAAATTGTTTTTGAGGTTAAAAGAATTTACCAGCAACGACGGCAACAACTGTCAGTCAGCCAGCCAGCCAGCAGTAGTGGTTTAATGAATCATTTAAATCCATGCATTCAATGTGCGTCTGTGTGTTTGCATTTAGTTAGTAGGTATACGGCGACGTCAACGGAGACAACGACGACGACGTCGTAGAATAAAATGTTTGTTTTTTATGATTCTTAATTATAAATGAGGAACTTTCTTTGTTCTTCCAGAGACCAGTGGAACGAACAACACAAAGAACATTATACAAAGCGAACACACGAAAAGTCAAGCCTGATCGCATTTTGTTTAGTACAGAGAGCAAAGAAAGAAACAAGTACAGTGAGAGAAAGAGAGAGCGCGCGAGAGAGGAAACAAATGCCAGTTTCCTTTGTCTCTTCATTCAACCACTCTCACGAGGAGAAAGTCCTGTCATGATTACTGCCAACGACGACGTCAGAAAATGACAATGTACCAAACAAAGCGTACAAAAATAACAAAAGAAGAAAATAATGCATGTGTGTGTGTGTGAGTCTGGAATTTCTTAAAAACAGGTCATTGATTTCTCTTTAATGCTGCTACACCAGTACAGTGCATGAGTTTGGGTTTTTTCGATTAGGGGTGTTTTTCAGCTACAGCTCTGCGGGGGTAGAAAAGTCACCACCTCCTCAAAACATTATTAGCACCGTAACCACCCCTATTCCTATCTTGTAGGACGAGGGGATGAATAAACTTGTTTATTTTGTGCATCGTAAAAAAATTCAATGATGACAAAGTTTGAGGTTATTTTTCGAAGGCAACCCCTCTACCTCCCTCCCCGACTAACCTTTATCAACCTACATACACATGTACATATCTGCGATTTTGACCTCAATTCCATTTGTGTGTGAAACGCTTTAACGATTTTTTCAATAGCAAAACCAAATTGCAGATTTTTTCCTAAGGAAATTTCCACTTTTCCATTGAAATGGAGGTCAAAGTTCTGTCTTTTCATAAGCCTCATGCATACTAATGTATTACGAACTTGTGTGTATGTATACATACACACACAGGCGAACAGATACAGATGATGGATGGATAGGATGAAGTGAAATTTCTGTTCGGCCATTATTTTGTGTGGAAAAGTAGTTAAATGAAGCTGTGTTGTGTCGTCGCATTATCTTTCCAAAAGTGGCGGGGATTTTTCATCATCTCCATGCGTTTCTTCATTGCTTTTCTTTGCTGCTTTCTTCTATATCATAAAAAAACACTCACAAACACCAATTTGTTTTGTAAACGTCGTAGGTAGTCATCATCATCATAGTCGACGTCGTCGTCTCTCAGCGAGACAAAAAAACACAAAGCGCACACAATTTCTTCACCTAACGCCGCCATCTTGATTGAATCAAACCAATTTCTTTTCAGCATTATATTTTTTCCAGCGTTTTCTGCCTCAACTCCCATTGCTGGTGTGGATTTAAAATTTTCATAAAATTTTGTGTAGCCGAGAAACAATTAATTTGCAATGCATTTATTGATTTTGCTTTAATTTCAAGGCTGCCACTGCTTCCGCTAACCAGCCAAGCCCCATATAGAAAAAAATTGACATGGTCGTCGTCGTCGTTGTCTCATTTTCTAATACATACACTCTCTACACGAAATCATCACATTTTAAACACATTTCTTTCTTTTTTTGCTTTAGTAAAATTGTTTTTCTTTGTTTAATCTTCACTTCTTGACGTTTTTTTTTGCTTAATTGTTTGTTAATTTTTCTTATTATACATACTGCAAGAGTAGGGATTGATGCTCTGCACTTACCTTTATGTAAAATATATTTTACTGCGAATAATGCACAAAGACGAAATTCCAAAGACAATCCAAGTGTGAAATGAAAAATTTCAAAGTACCAGATACATCAATTTCGAGAGAAGTTTTTCCATGTACCGATTACTTTTTACAGAGTTGTATTTTGCAGAGTGCAGGCAGTGTTGCATTTTGTTGTACGTTGACTGTGGTCAAATTAATTTTGTGACGTATCGGCGGTTCTATTTAAACAGCATTTAGATTAACACTTATTAAACAGCTAAAGGCCCAAAACAGATCCGATGTTTGTTTTTTTGCCTTTGTCTGATAGGTTCGGCTTAAATTTTTATCTAATTTGAATTTTTAACGTAAAACTAGGTTTACATTACATCTTTTGATGAAAGTTTATACGTCATATTTGTCACGTCACATTTGTCAAATATATTTACAATAACATCTTATTATGAAGTTTATCGACTTGAGTTGACCAAATACAAGCTTTGCTTAAACAAAAATTGGATGGTTTTTATGGAGTTAAATTTGATATGTTTAATCCCAATAAATTCGAAATAAATACTATTTTCCAAAGAACGGCCCTTTTAAGCCATCACCCACATCAAATAGGATTGTTGAGCCGCTTAACCAATGACGAAACCCGTCACTTGAAGAAACTAGGAAAATGCAACTCTGTACCGGAGTGTCAAATAGACTTTTTTTCAACAATTGATTTTGTTCATTTATTTTTTTTTTGTTTGTCAAAAAATTGCTATATTGGCGATACCCCACAAAACATAAATGGAATATTGGGATTTCACCACAAAATTGAATCCATGATGGAAGGACAATATTGTTTTATCCATGGAATTTTGGGGTTATTCCACAAGATTGAATCTAAAATAGTATGGCAATAAAGTTTAAACCCAAAATTGTACAATGTGTTGCCAATTAACTTCGAAAATATACATTTGTTTTGCATCCGAATTTAATTATTTTTTCAAATTATTTTATTTTTTATTCAAAAAATACACACACATGCACAAAATGTGTATATTTTGGGCACCGAAAAGGAAAAAAAATAGTATTTAGGGGGTAGCTTTGTTCCACTTTCTGTAATTATGCCATGGTTTTATCGATGGTAGAATAGAAGTAGACGCGTCGACACAGGTGATGGAACGATGAACTGTCAAAACAATTTGAGAATTAAAAATGTTGAATGAAAAATTATTCAAATTTGTAAAAATGGTTGAAAATCGAATTTTTTTATCACTTCCGACTGACGTCGTATAAGAAAACATATAAAAATATTCTTAACCCAAGCGTTGATGCATCTAGCTCTATTCTTCAACCATGTTTTTTCCCAAAATTATACATATTGTCGCTTATTATCGTGGAATAAATTTCTGTTATCTCTAAGGGCGGAAATACATAAAGCGCATACTTGGCTGGCTTAAGTCATCGGCTGGCTTCTTCGTAGATGAACAAAGGAGTTTTAGGTTGACTTAGTTCGATTTCGGGCCTATGCTCTTTTGTTCATTTCCGAAGAAGCCAGCCGGTGAATTAAGCCAGTCAGATAAGCGCTGTATGTATTCGCACCTTAAATTTGAAAAAAAAATTAAAATCTTTCCTCGTTATTCAGAACAATACACTCATATACAACCTTGCTCTATTGTAGAACCTGCAAGAATCTACTATTTTTGCAATGTTTTTTCGATATCATAAAGTGAAAATCGATTATCGTAGTAAATACTTTTACATTCTCGCAGTTCTGGAACAGACCAACTGTGTATATGTTTTGTCAGAACAAGGGCAACAAGAGGAAAAAAATTGTATTTGGGGGGTAGCTTTGTTTTACCTTCTGTAATTGTGCTATGAGTTTGTGATGGTGTCAATTTGGCTTTCCTTTACATAGTAAATTTTAAACCATTAAGCTCATCTCAGAATAGAAATAAACAAATAACCAAAAATAGTAAGGAACAATTAAGGGCTAAGTACATAAGAAGCTTGAAGTCATGGCTAGGCATATTAATGTCAAATTATAATGGAAAAAGACGGCTGGACGTTAGTGCGGCTCTGTAATCCCTTTGTGAAATGTCACAAAATATGCCTAGCCTTGACTTCAAGCTTCTTATGTACTTAGCCCTTTATTTCAAGTTAATCTTATTTCATGGTACAATAAGGAGGTAGAACAGCTTCGTAAAACTACAAAAATACAGCCCTGAGGCTATGTCCGCTTCCTGTCAGACTCATTCAAAATTATTGTTTTAATTTTTTTCATATTTTTCCTCTTTTTTAAAATGAGTTAAAAAGCGCGAAAAATGAATAAAATGTCTGGATTTAAAAAATATGATCCCAATTGTTCAATCATTTCATTTCATGCACGAGCCGCAATTCATGTGTCTTCCAATCATTTGTTGTGAAAATATTTTTTTTTTCATTTTTCAAAACAATAAATACATACACAAAATTGGCAGAATTCGGGCGCATTTACAAAAAATTGTAATCAGCTGTTAGTTCTATCTTACCTTTTTATTGTACCATGTCTTATTTCATATAAGGAATTCTGTAATTGATAGAAAGTTTCGACAGTTCCATCCAGTGAATAGACCAATTCATTAAGTTCCTTTCTGGAACTACAGAACTCTACTATCAAAAGAGTGACGTCTGTTTTGATTCCCATCTTTATCTTTATTTCTTTCTGTGCTGTCTTTCAATTCAGCGTTGCCACATCTGATAGTAGCTAGTTCCGCGCCCCTTCGGTGAATGTGTTCAAACCACTTTGTTGTCGGCCGTTTTGTTTTGATTCCATCTTTATCTTTATTTCTTTCTGTGCTGTCTTTCATTCAGTGTTGCCATATTGCAGTGTTCTCTGTGCGTCTAGAGCCACAGAGCCACGAGAGCCACGTCAGAGATCAACTATATAACAAAAAAAAAAAAAAACATACATAACTAACAGAAAACACTTGGGAAAGATGCGGAACACTTCCACGCTACTGATTGCTTCCATTCTCGTTGCATTGTGTTTGCCTGCATTGGCCAAATTTACCACACAGGACGTAAAATGCCATGGTAAGTGGGAATATTCAATACTTGTTGCTCTTCAAGCCGGTAACTAAACAATTGTTTTGTTTTCCAACGTGCCCAACGTGCAGTGTGCAAAGCGGTGGTCAGCGAAATAGAAGAGGAGGTGGCCAAAGTAGATCCCAAAAAGAAAATCGATGTCAGTGGCTTCCGTTTGGATGCCAATGGCAATTCGGTGGGCAAAAGTGTTCCCATGGCCAAGTCGGAATTGTTCCTGAGTGAGGTGCTGGAAAAGGTGTGTGACAAAATGGATGACTACTTACGGGCCACATACAAAAAGACTGGTAAATTCACTCTACTGAAAATCATGATCGATGGTAAAATGAATCCGGAATCCAGTGAGGTTGATTTTGTTCAAGATGATGATCTGAACAAAAGCCTTGGTCACTATGTAAGTTAATTGGGAATTATTCCCATGGTATAGTAACACTTTCCGTTTTCCATTTTGCAGTGCCTTGAATTTATTGAAAATTACGAAGACATTGTAATGAAATATTTCAAAGAGGAAACATTAAATGAACATTTGGACATCAAAATCTGTTCAGAGGAATCTGAATACTGTAACGATGCACCCATCCAGGAAGACTATGAGTTCGACGACAAGGATGAACTTTGATTTCGACATAGGCTGGACGTACTTTCTTTAGTTTGATATTATAATTTATTTTTCTAATGTTAGAAACTATTTTTTATTGTAAAATTGTAGATAGCAATATATTTTGTTATGAACTGATTATTTTTTTATAATTATAATGAATTCTACAAAAGCTCCAATGAAGCTCTAAAACAAATGCCTTTAAAAAAATAAAGAAATATCTATTTTTTCTAGAGATTTCTTTGTTAACGTACGTATTTTTTAAATATTAGTATTGCCACGAATATAATCAAAAGTTAACCAAATGTTGCTTATGTGTGTACATTAGGATGGGTACAGGTTTACCAAATTGTCGACTACGATAACACGCTAAGGTATTGTTTTCTTATTATTCTTTACGAAATAAGGTACCTTGAATGTGTCGTAGTTGGTTATTTTGATCATATATTATTTTTTAATCCTACCTGTTGACCCACCTTCATGTACGTTCTAACCCATTTAAGGAGTTGAAATACTTTGGGGGCTTATCTATGTTCACACATTGTTTCATATCATTCAGTATCTGTTAAAGAAAATCTCTTGAACTATTTGTTATCTTGAAAGTGTGGCTGTGTATGAAGACGTAATTTGCACCTACTTTATTTTATACCTTTCATCATTTGTAAGAAGTTAAATATTTGTCACGAAAATCACGATAATGCTGTCAATGATTCAGATAGAGTCACGGAATGTATTACTAATATACCATGAATATATGATCTTGGCCTTAACAAAAAATTAAAAAGAGACTGGTTATGGGGTTTGAACCACAGACCACTATACTATGTATAACTAAGAAGGAGAAGAGTGTCTCATCAATGTTCAGAGCCATTATTCCGTCTTCCTATAGCAGCACTATAACTGGGGTATTAATTGGGAGTAATGTAATTGATGTGGACATACAAATCCATCGCTACGAAAGCAAGATTAGATTACATTCCAAAGAACGACCATCATCCCCAACAAATATACCTGAGGAGCCACTTTACCACTGGAATTCATTTTCCCAACAAATTTCAGATCATTAAGCTCATCTCGAAGGAGAAATAAACAAAAATCGTCACATATTAATAGACAAATCCAAAATTACCGGTACGCAATGGTTGAATTTTCTGTCAAATGTTTTATGTAGTTACTGGGGCTTATCCTGATTTTCAAGACCCATCCACAATTTCCAACCGATTTCAAGATCGAAAATAGTTTTTACTTTGATTGCAATTTACTTTTACCTAAATGTGTTATTTAATTTTTTATGTATTATTCAATTCAGCCCATTTTTTGCCCTGCATCTTGGAAAAGAGAGAATATATTAAATTTGTCATTCCGTTTGTAACACCTCTAAATATTCGTCATAGACTCCATAAAGTATATATATTCATAATCAGCACAGTAGTTTGTATTGTGTCTGAAATTCTTAACAAGGAGTTCCTTGTGAGTACTTTACCCCCAGAAATAGAATTGTCTATAAAGGTCCATGATATCGTATGGCCTACACACAAGGGTACCCCCGATATTCGATATTTTGACGATTTTAGGGACTTTATTCGTAGGAGTTGTTTCAAATTTCGTATTCGAAGTTTGTAATGGATACTACAGCCTATGACAAAAAGTTGTCTGTACAGGTCCACATTTTCGTATAGCCGCCATATAACGGTAGCTCCCGATATTCGGTATTTTAATGGTTTTAGCCATATTTTTTCAGCAATTTGTCTTAAAATTGGTATTTGTGCTTCGTTATGGGTTCTAGCTCCAGTGGCGGAACATTGTATACATAGGTCCATGTTTTCGTATAGCCTCCATATAAGGGTACCTCCCGATATTCGGTTTTTGATGATTTTTGCCACATTTGTCCACGGTTTCATCTAAAAAATTGTATTTGTTGTTAGTAATGGGTTCCATATTCGGTGACAAAATATTGTTTATATAGGTCTACGTTTTTGTATAGCCTCTATATAAGGGTACTTCCCGATATTCGGTATTTTGACGGTTTTGCCAACATTTTTCTAGGGATTTGTCTAGAAGTGGTATTTGTAGTTCGTTATGGTTTTTAGCTCCAGTGGCGCAACATTGTATACATAGGTCCAGGCTTTCGAATAGCCTCCAGATAAGGGTACCTCCCGAAATTCGGTATTTTGATGATTTTTGCCACAATTTACAACGGATTTGTCTAAAAATTGGTATTTGTTGTTAGTAATGGGTTCCAGCTTCGGTGACAAAATATTGGTTATATAAGTCTACGTTTTTGTATAGCTTCCATATAAGGGTACTTCTCGATATTCGCTATTTTGATGTTTTTTGCTCCATTTTTAAACAGATTTTTCGCGCGTTTTCGTGAGGCCCACCTATAAGTGTACCTCCCGATATTCAATATTTTAACAGTTTTACCCACACTTTTCCACAGATTTGCCTAAAAATTGGTCTTTGTAGTTCAAAAAAAAAAGGTTTTATCTCCAACAGGGGGACATTGCGTATTCATATTTTAGGTTCACGTTTTCGTATAACCTTCATTAAAAGGGTGCTTCCCGATATTCGGTATTTTGACAGTTTTACCCACATTTCCCACGGATTTGTCTAAAAATTGCTATTTGTAATTTGTAATGGGTTCTAGCTCCAGTGGCAGAACATTGAATATCTAGGTCCTCGTTTTCCCATGACGCACATATATCGGTATCTTTGGATATTCGTTATTTGGCGATTTAAGCCACATTTTCTAATAGATTTGTGTGAAATTTGGTATTTGTACTTCATAATGGGTTCTACAACCGGTGCCAAAACATTGTCCATATTGTGTAACAGTTTTTATACAAGAGTTCGGTATTTGATATATAGACCGATATTCGGTATTTTCGGTATTTTGATAATTCTAGTCACATTTACCCACGAAATTAAGTCCAATTTGGTGTTTAAGACTGGCAATAGATTACAATTGTGGTAGTATAAAATTGCCTACACAGGCTCCCGTTATGTATGGACCTAATTTAACGGCTCCAACCAGTATATTGTTTTTTGAAAACTCTAACTGCACTCTCCTACCGATCTTACAAGGAGTTTGTAGTTTAAAATGGAATATGTTCGAACTCAAGTACTTTAAAAAAAATGTTTTCTTTACCTAATAGTGGCACAGCCGAACTTAATGTCTTTTTACCTGCTTCAACTATTTTGCTAGAGTATGGGAATTTTATATTTAAGTGATGTTGTATTTCCAAATGCCTTGCAAAAGTTGTAGATGGTAATATGCGTCTATACCAAATATACTTTGTCGGAACTGTATCTTGGAGAAGTACGTGATGCTTTGGGCCCTCGCAGATAATTCTGAATTACTTGAAGCATTCCAAATCCAAAAGAAAATAAAGGTGTTATTGTCAAGCTCTTGAGTACTTATCTATAACAGATTAATTCTTTGAAAACTGAAAAGTCTCGGAAAATTGATGTAGTTGTGGTGGATGGTGGAGCTTTGGCCGTGATACTTTCATCTATTGTCAGATTCCAATATATTCAATTATTATGCCCCAGAAGATTGAAGATTTTTAGGCAATCATTTGAATATTGAAAATCATTTAAATAATAACAACATAACAGAATGTCGAGAAAAACTCTTTCACAATATTTACAAAAGCAAGGACATGTAACATAAGGATGCCCTTTTACATACCAACAACAACAAAAAGGTGCAGATAAATAAAAAAAATCATAAGGAATGTTGGACTTTAAAGTGAAGGGTTTCAAATAAAACCTTTTAATGTGTTTTTTTCTATAGGGATGAAAGTTCTGCTTCAAATGCGTAAGCACAATCTTTTTCTGGTGTAAAAGGTCGTGCACCTGTTTTATTAAAAATCAAATAAAAATACGAAATGTCATTTACCCTTGTCCGCACATTCGACGACAAAGCAAAGCCAAACATCCCATTCCACTTCGTTGAGCTTTGAGTCTATGGTCCTTTTTGCCGGTGATAATATTTCCTTTATCTGTTTGCTAATCTAAACACTTGTCATTTGAAGTGGCGTAAGGGTGGTTGTTTGTTTTGTTGTTGTTGTTTTTTGGGTGGCTGTTTAATTGTGCGTGTATCGTAGGCAATAACATCATCAACATCATCATCGTCGTTTCATTTTACATCTGGAATTAGGGTTGTCGATTGGGAAAGGATATTTTCCGCATTTTTTTCAATATTGAAAATTTAGAAATATTTTTTTGATTACGAGTGTGTATTATTTTTCTATTGTCCCGGTAATTTCCTGAATCTGGCACATACGACCAAATTGAGCCTAGTAGCAAGTACGTCAAATTTGGTAGAATTCGGTTTAGATAAAGCTATAGCTCTCTTACATATTTTTCTTCCGATTTGTTATTTTTGTCTACTCTACAGCCTAAATATGCTCTAAGTAACAACGATATTCGGGGAAATATATCAAATACAGCTCAGAAATACCTTGGCCAAATTTTATCGGAATCGGTTCAGATTTAGAAACAGCTTCCAAATATATATAGGGTGATATAAAAAAACTGCAACAAAGTCCAACACCATCATTTTTAATTTTTTTTTTTAAATTTTAATTGAATGAAAGCAAAAAATGTCGGATATAGCATTAAATTTTGGAATAAGTTTAGATTTGTTCGAATTGGTCAGCTTTGGCACGAATTATGGCCTTCAAACGGCCAATGAAACCGTCACACGCTACCCGAATGTTGCTCTGCGGTATTTTGGCCCATTTTCGGCGAAGCGCTCGCTTGAGCTGATCGGCACTTTGGTATTATTTAGTGCCAACCTTGCTTTCCAAAATACTCCAGACACAATAGTCCAACGGATTAGTATCCGAAGATTTTGGTGGCCATTGTGCCCGGGAAATGACGCGAGGAACCTCATTTTGTAACTATTCTTGGGTGGCGCGTGCTGAGTGCGATGGTGCTGAGTCCTGTTGGAATGTCCAAGGTCTGCGGCCAAAATGTTTGTGTGCCCAATGCCTTAATACACCTTCCAGAATATTTTCGCGATAATATTCGGAATTTATTCTGATGCCTCGGTTGATTAATACGAGCGGAGAACGACCATCGGCTGTTATGGCGGCCCACACCATCACCATGGCCGGCGCTTGGGTTCTGGTGGCCAACCGAAGGTGCACATTTTCAGCTGACCTCTTTGGCAAGTAAACACGATCATTTTGTTTGTTTACAAACTAAGGGACAACGAATGTTTTCTCA